CCCTGCTAAAGGACTATGGGGAATGAAGCACACAAGAAAACCAGTAGACTTCCTGGTATCCCAAGCAAAAAATCTACCAGCTGATATTATATTGCCCATCGTCAAACTGGAGATATCTGAAGGAGGAATAGAGTTCGTCGAAGTTACTGATAGAAAACTTAAATACACCCCTACCCAGTTCACAGTTGACATGATATCTTACGGAGTACAAGATTTAGTTTACACGAGGGTATTCAGTATGATTGTCGTGCTAGAAGACACATTGAACCATGGCATACCATTCGAATGTCATAGTTTTGTATGCGAATCTAGGGACCAAGCGAGGAGAATTACCTATGCTTTGGCTGCAGCTTTTCAAGATTATGGAAGGAGAGTGAAAGCTGAAAGTGGGAGTAGTGAGAGGCCAATTAGGAAATTCGCCATTGATTTGAGGACTCCTGAGGAACAAGCAGACGCTTCCGATGGTGAAACAGATGCATAAGATATTAACCCAAGTCCCAAATTTCATTGACAGCTGTTAGATAACAGCATAATGATCAAATCGGCAGCAGCATTCATTATCCTAGTTATTTCCGTGACCTTCATAACGTTCTCAATTCAAGATGGTTTGCTCCGTATCCCAGACAGCACAGAATGTTCTATGAATCCAAATAATTGTACGAGATTTTGTAATTCGTACAAAATAATTTATTAAAATTTTTCGTAGCAGAGCGCTTTCGACTATACAGTCATCATCAGTGCTTACCTGTAAGTAAGTAATCAGCTTTTAGCTATGGGAAGACATCATTTTTTGAAAAAATATTCTTTATAAAAATATGTTTGTTGAACTTAAATATGGAAATGAATTAAAGTTAATCAAATTATATCTATTGAAAAAATTGCATCAGAAACTGAAAAATGTTAAATTTGAACTAGAAAATTAGCAAAAGTGAGGCTACTTACTCGTCAGGTTGACAAGAAGATTATCCATAAAAATATCTTTGGCCCTGCTCATTGTTATGAATATTATGACTAAATACGGTACAAACAAATTAAGATTTGTTTCCCAAAATGGGATAATATGCAGATTACATTATCTGAGCAGCTGCTAACCCTCACTCACTGTTCTATGAATCTTCTCACAACGTTCACAACAAACCTCCTCTAGAATATTCATAGTATATATAATGAGAATGTTCTGGATGGTCATAGAATATGTTTTCCGAGAATATTCATGGCACATTTTGTCTAAATATCGTAGGAACGTTCCTAGAATGTTTCATTATATTCTATGAATGATATTCAGAAATGATCACAGAATGTATTGTTCGAATATTCTGGGTATGTTTTCCAGGTACCCATATGCACATATAAAATATTTATAGTTCAAGATACTCTGAAGAAGAGAGAAAAAATTGTGTAGATAATAAAATTTTTCAGAAAAAATCGATTTTTCATTGATTTATTCAAACTCCTTTTCGCTGATTTTGATAAAACTTGTCATGCTCATCTGCGTTAGCGATAAAGGGGTTCAATGTGATTTCCAATTTACCGCTATGCTTTCACACATCATGATATCCGTGAAGCATCCATGATCCTTATTGTATGTTATATATACAGGGTTTGGCATTAGTGCTTCGGGGCTCGATTGCTCGAGTTTTATGATAGCTAGAAACTCGATTCAAAAACGAATGTGAATGAGACAACAAGGTCCATCACTAGAAATTATTGCCGCATATACAGGGGGCACCGGAAAAAATCTAGATTATTCAATCATTTCAAAGTTATTAAAATCATTTCAAAGTTATTTTTTCGAAATAATGTCATCTGCAGATGCATACCCAACTAAGAAATTGAAGAGAGAATAATCATATCGATCCATTTTGATATTCGTAACTATTTTAGAATTATTGAAGGTCGAAATTTATAGGTTGGCCATTTTCATCGATAGACATTCTCATCTGATATTAAAACATCATCATCAACAAAAAGTCCAATCGATAAATAATTCATTAAACTTGTTTTTTTATTGAAAGAATTGACACCAGACTCAAAACAAACAGAAATAGTTCATGTGCTATAGTTATTCATAAAGTGAAGAAGAACAAAATTCCTATTTCGCACAATGGGGAAGACCACACTGAGGTAAGAAATCCGTGAAAACCTCTTTCAATCGAAGAATCATGATTCACGTTTTATGTACAATCAATATTATGAGTTGAAGTTGAAGGGAATCGAATCTATATCGTTTTGAAATCAGCATATTTCTTTCGATATTCCAAGAAGCCAAATATGATGGTGGAGCTGTGACGTATTAGGTGGTATATTAGTCCCGAACTGTAGCTATCTCACTCTGATACCTCGTCATTCTGCAGTGTTGCAGTGTGATTGGCCAGTTCAAGGACAATAGGCGTGTTGGGACTAAGACGTCGCACCAGCCACACCAATGAATTGACAAAATTTCGTGGCGCAGGAATTGTGTGTTTTGAAATGGACATATTCTAATTTATTTTTTTCGTCTTAGCATAAATGAAAAAAATTCAAAATTAATTCACTGGTAGTTTTTCAATATAGAGGTCACGATAATGTCGATTTAAAAAATCAGTGGTCTCCCAGATTTTTTTTCTTTTTTTCTTTGTAAATTACAGACCAGCATATGAACTATATCTGATGTTTGCCTCAATTCGGGTTTCAATTCTTCTAAAAAAACAAGTTCACTAAATTATTAATTGGACTTTTGAAACTAATGAGAATGTGTATCGAAGAAAATGACCAACCTATAATTTTCTAAGATCAATAATTCAAAAATGGTTACGAATTATATCAATATGGATGTTGAGATCAAAGATGTTCGTGTTTCGATTTTACACCAAATGGCCTAAAGATATATGGGGTGTTCAATTTGAAAAACTAGAGAAAAATCACTTTCAAAAGTTCTGAATTGAAAAATCATTTTCAGTCAGCCTGTATAATCTGAGGATATGAAAATCCTACAAAAATATCACACATCTTCCCAACAAATGATATTATTATTCTAAAAAAACAATAGATAAATTTGACTTGATTTGTAAAGTTGAACTATGGAAGGTGAACAATAAAACCATAAATATTCCAAAGCTACCTATCTTGATATTTATATGCAAAAAGATTAACTGATAAAATATTGTGATTATAATTAAACGTGTGTATTTGTGAAGATATTTGAAAACGGCTTTTTCAATCGAAATTAGATGGAAGTAATCTTTGTCTATTAAGACAAGAATATTTTTTTCTCCACGACATAGAAAGTGACTTTTTCATGACACTCAACAGGCAGCAAAGTTATGTTCTTTCTCTGCCTAGGCACAAAAAGTTTGTTGCTATGCAAAGTTCCAAGTAATTTGAATGAAATTGATAATTAAAATTGACACTGACATTAGGTGAACACAAAATGATGGAGTTATCAATAAAAATATTACACAAAATTGGTTTTATAACTTTTGGAGAAATAATTATATGTTTCACATGGCAGCAAAGTCGGAATACCTACATACTCTTTATGCACGACGGCATATTCAATTTTCATTATGAATACCTTCTTTATAGCGAATATATCATTGTTAGAATGAGGAATATCATAAACGGAATCAACGTACAATAGTGACCTAAAGTCAATTTTCTGATCACAGCAGATAGATTATTTTGTTCGATCTTATCATTTTGTATCTCAGAAATATCAAGAGAACTGCGATAAGATAATGAACCGTCACAACTAAAACATATACAGGGTGTCAATTTGAAAACTTCCCACCCTCAATATCTCCCTCCAAGTCGATGATATGGACAAACAAAAAGACAGGTCGATTTTATTTTCGAGGGGGACATGGTTCTAAAATATTTTCAGCCCCGCGGCGTTGCCGCTTCTAACGAAAAGAAGCAACAACTTTGTTATTTCAAATGGAACACCCTGTATTTTATTGCATTTTTAGATTCTCACTGAAAAGCTGATTTCATCAATGTATCACACTTGGGGTCTAGCTGGAATGATTACAGAGATATAGGGTGTTCAAAATCGAGATTTTACAACTTTAGGATTTTTTTGAGTCGAAACTATTCATTATTGGTCAAAACGGCTCTTACGTCCCCATCTCAACTTTTGATTTACTATCTACTGACATTTATTTGAAACAAATACAGGGTGGTTCAAGATTCAGACTTTTGATCACCCTGTATTTGTTTCAAATAAATGTCAGTAGATAGTAAATCAAAAGTTGAGATAGGGACATGAAAGCCGTTTTGACCAATAATGAATAGTTTCGACTCAAAAAAATCCTAAAGTTGTAAAATCTCGATTTTGAACACCCTATATCTCTGTAATCATTCCTGCTAGACCCCAAGTGAGATACATTGATGAAATCAGCTTTTCAGTGAGAATCTAAAAATGCAATAAAATACAGGGTGTTCCATTCGAAATAACAAAGTTGTTGCTTCTTTTCGTTAGAAGCGGCAACGCCGCGGGGCTGAAAATATTTTAGAACCATGTCCCCCTCGAAAATAAAATCGACCTGTCTTTTCGTTTTTCCATATTATCGACTTGGAGGGAGATATTAAGGGTGGGAAGTTTTCAAATTGACACCCTGTATGTCTTGATTTATACAGGCATGCTCATTATGAGTTATCTATTCACCGGGCGCTAAAGTGCCACTTTACGCTCGCAAAACCAGGCGGTAAAGTCGTCCTTACGCCCGGCCGTGCATTAATCTGATTTTATAAATTTTGAAAAGAATCTAGCAGCAAACATATGGTGTGATAAGGAGTTAATGGAAAGAGTTATCTTATCTGATAAATATTTTATTATCATCATCAATTTCAAAGGCATTAATAAATAAATAAAATTTGATCTCGCAAAAATATGTTTTTATTTCACTAATAATCCACTTGTCTACCTACCTACATTTGGAAAAGATCAAATCATGATAATAAATAAAGGAGCAATAACTATAACTGGAGAAATGAATAGATATGGTATACTTTGTGGTAGGTTATAATATTTGGAAATTCAAATATTTGTCTCGACAACTTCTTTAGAAATGTATTCGTCACAATAATAAGGATAATGCATTCATTGTATAGATATATAGTTATCAAACTAAATCATACAATGAAATAATGGTATGGTGATTGGTGGGATAAATCAAATATTCGGTATAAAAAAATAAATGACAGCAACACATTTATCTTTCTTTGTTTGCAGGAAAATAAGAGATATCTTGATGAATTATCAAGTACCAAAGCAAGAGAATTCAATTTCAGGGCAAAACTAATAAATTTCCACAAAATATATATTGGAATTCTAGAATATTTTTAATGTGACTGAATTTTGCAATCAGTAAAGTTCATAAGGTATTTATGCATGGATTGCTTGATTTATATTCATTTTGAGTTTTTCATAATATATCCCGTCAACAGAATTCAACTCTAATCCAGGATTTCTATTTAGAATTTAGAAAAATAAATTGATTTCAGAATGCTCAGTAACTTCAAGATTTTTTATATTCGGATGTAGGCGCTTTTATTCAACTATAGGCACTTATATATTTAATTCATTTCATATATTGACATTATAAGTATAGTTCAGAGTATCACACGTTGAGAAATATTTAAAAAGCGAGGAAAACATTAAATATCCTTTTAAGTTTTTTAAGTACATATTTGATGAGAAGCCATACTACATCTCATTCCTGTTTATTCACTACAAATGTTCCTGGGTTTCTCGAAGTCCGAACATGAAAATATGAGAATCACATACGGAACTGGTCAAATAACATGATCTACTATATGATTAAATGTATTAGTGTTATTTCAATATAGGTAGGCACCTACTTGTAGTTAAGACAAATCAAATGATTTTTTACGAAATATGACTGCGCTCAAAATTCAGTATATTTTGAAATAAAACTAATATCTTTATCAATAGACAAGAAGAGGGAATCTCAAAACATTTAGAGGAAAGATAAATAACTATTTCTCAGCTTTTGAATTGTTTTCACATTGTTACCTCAGACTCAATGAGCTTTCATTATCTTGTTTGATAGTGTTGACACTCGCTTTAGTCACATCCCGAAATTGACTGAAATTACGTATATCCAGTTGAACTATCCGATATTAAACGAATAGTGACATCATATTCATAGGAAATATACATATAATAGAATTGTCTTCATAAAAAAATCAAACTGCGTCTCTGACTATAGAGAGATTCTTAATATTACTCCTAATAATTATTTGACAATTACAAGTTATATGTGCAGTAAAATACTGTAAAAGGTGTAGAACGCCATACAAATTGGTTGTATAATCAACTACCTACTAGAAACTACTGAAACATCACAGTCAAACTAAGTAGATTTAAATATCAATGTACATTGAAGGCTTTATTTAAAATGATGGATGAGGTAAATTATCGAGGTATGTTCCTCAATCAATAGTGTTGAGAGGAAGTCCTTATATGTTTTTCTTCTTCAGATAGTTCTGTAAAAAGAACAAAAAATAATCAATCATGAGAAATGGTAGATTGGAGATAACTCACCTCTTCAGCGATGCTGGCTAAATGTTTAGATGTTATTGATCCGGTTACCTCGACTAAACTTCGTAATATTCCGTTTTCTTTCTGTAGCAAATTGTGAGGATGATCAAATTCCTCTACAGTACCAGCGTCCATCACTAGAATTTTGTCAGAATCCATCACCGTGTGTAATCTATAAATGAAAATTAAATTGAATTGTACCGCAATAACCTTCAAGTCCAATATGAAACTGAATTATTTGGACAAAATTCAATGAGTAGAAATAATTCGTACATCGGCTTTGTCAACAAAGAGATAGATACAACAAATTGGAGTTGAATTCATTATCTCAAAAAACTTTGGCGCGATCATCGAATTGTTGTGATATAAGATAAGTTCGACTATAAAAAAGAAAAAGAAATTGATCGATGATGTAAAGAGAACCTTATCTGCATTCTTTTGGTTGAGACTGACTGGTGAATATTAATAGTAAATAAAACTACACATTTTTTCAACCCTGAAGTATGTTGTCCTTGAAAAAACGTGGCTGTGATGCCCATTTTATTTACTAACTTACATATTTCTGAAACTGTTTTTGAAAACTCAAGTATTTGCTATGTTTCTCAAGAAAACTTTTTTGTCAAAAAAAAAAAATGAGGTAAGACAAAATATCTTAGAGGTTGAGTATTTCAACCTCTTCTAAGGATATTTCAGGGTTGTAAAGATAACAAAATGTGTAGTTTTATTGAAAAATGATATTTTCCAAGTTTTACTAGTCTTGAGCTCCATATACAAGAGGAATAAAAAATGAAAACATTTTTTTTTGCATTTTCAGAAGGGTTTAACTTTTCCGGGGAGAGGTCGTTTTTTCAGAAAATTTCATATTCAACACCCACCTTAATTTTCATCACAGAATCACCACTTGAATTTTTCGGTGTGATTCCGATACACCCTGTGTAGATAATATAACGAAGGAAAATATCCATTCTGCATGTCAAAGACTACTTTTTCTGAACAATCTATCCCAGCTCGGCCTCGAGCTACATGTACTTTCCTACATAAACTCCATTTTCGGTATACTATATTTTCATCTGAGGTGAATGCTTTGCAGTTATTTTTTTTTGCAAAAAAAAATTTTTAGGTACTTCGAAAATGCCCATTTTTGAAGAACACCTTGTAACTCCGAAACGAAGACAGATATCGATATGCTGTTTTCACCATTGACTTTTGCATGAGAATCGGCCCTCATCACGGGAAAAAAAAGTTTTGTTGCACCACCAACAAAAAAAATTTGGTAATTTTTTTTTTGTTAAATTGAACACAATTTTGCGAAATCAACAGAATATATGTTCATTCTAAATAAACAACCTATTCAAAGAGACAAAATAATGTGATTGAAATATTTGCTCACTTGAACAAAAGTTCCATTTCATTCAACAACATTTATAGTTGACATAAAACAAATTTTGTTGATCAACTATTATCCCACTGTTCAATCAATCATATGCATTTTGTCAAAATCAAATTAATTTTGACAAAGTTTTAACTAAATACAACATTATATTTTATTGATTCAACAATAATTTCATTGTGCAACCAATCAAAAGGTTTTTTTCTAATCGACAAAATTGAGTTGATCATGACAACATCACATTTTGTTGATTCAACACATCACTATCAAGAAATATGTTGTTATTTCAAACGAATTACTTTGTTGAACAGAACTCACAAATACATTATATCAAACAAATAGTTTGTTGAATGATTATCTAGTTGCATTTTTGCCACCAGGTGGCGTTTCTTCCAACCTTCCTACGCTCGCCTCGATTTGGGTGTACATAATTATACCTACCTGAAACATCCGCTAATATAATTATATTAGGCTTTCCTAGAATTTCTAATGACGCTTTTAATAAAAGCTAATAGTCTTGAATCAACTGAGGAAATTGATCTCTAATCTAATTTCTCTTAGTTTTGAAATTCAGTTATTGGTTTCTTTTAATATTATTCAGCGAAATATTTTGTCAATTCGAAATAAAACTTGGTTGAACGAAGAATATATGTTGTTATTTCAACATATTCACTCTCTGAAAAACTGAAAATTTTGTAACTTGAATGAAATGCCATAATCATTTCAATCAACAGAATCGTTCATAAAAGCAGATATTGTATTATATATAGGAACAAAATAGTCTTCGTTTGTTTAAACAATTCCTGCTGTTAATTTGAATCATTAATGAGTTACATCAAATGAATTTTGAATTGAGAACTGACAAAAACATTTGTTGCGGTGACAAAATATTTTGTCGTGGATATACGACACTCAGTTTTGTTGAATTTACAAAATTTTTTTAGTTTCAAACAATTTTTTTTTCTGTGCAGGCACCGACATCAGTTTTCTTCTATCTAGTCGGAGAATAGGACTTTTCCTTCGAAAGTGACCAACACATTGTAGGTTACCAGGGAAGGGAGGGGATACCAAAATATCTCTTCTCATGGCATTGACTAACAAATTACATAAATCTTTGGGAAGGACCTGATAATTACATGCATTACTTGATGAATGTTCAGTCATATAATTACGAATTAGATAATTTGTGGAAGTATTTAATCGACATTGAAGGCTCACCAAGCCTATCTGCCGATTATGTCGCCTTCATCCTAGTGGAGAAGTCCGATACGTCTGAAATTGTATTCTGGGATTACAAATTTGAAATCTAAAATGTGTTCAAAATGGAAGATTATTTCCGATTATTTCGTCATTTCTCGTCTGATATTAGCCTGAAAATGTGGATTTATGGATTTTTATATTTCAACAATAGATGTTGTACCTACATTTGTTAATCATTTTCATATTAGGTATTTCCAATATTTGACAAAAAATTGATATTCTGTGGTAATAGCCAGGAGAAAAGTTGTTATTTATTATTTTACTTGTTCAAAGAACTTAATCCCAAGTTGGTTGTTTGGACGATGGGAGACAGTGATTTTAGATATTACATAGAAGATTAACAATTAATCACAGAAAGTCCCACAATCAGATAATTTAAACAATTCACATTGTATGTTATAATGTCGAAAAACAATTTCTATGGGCTGAGTATATGAAAACGAATGATTTACAGATGATTTTTTTACTTTGGTTTGAACCAAAAAATGAATTATTTGAAATAAAAATATAATCGGTGGGATAAAAGAAACGTCATCTCAGTTCTGTTTTAGTACCACCACTCGTAAAGAGATCATGGATGGAAGCATTTTCAGCATTTCAATGTTTAAGATGGAGAAAGTGTGAAGTATAATGAATTCAGATTATGATGACGTATGAGACAAGAACACTTTTTTCATTCATTTTTTTTTCGAATTGAAAATATATTATTGAAGGCAAATAAATGTATATTTCTTTTCTAAAAAAGAGAAACATACTCGCAATCAGAATTGGTTTATATAAATAAATGTGGCATAGATTTCCGCGGGATTCAATTTAATGATCTTCAATTTTGTAGTTTTCTATGTAAATTTTCTGATTCAGTTTTATATGGTTTAATTTAATATTAAAATCAATTTTACTGTATAAAGACACCTACATTTCGACTAAAGTTCATACGTACCATTTTATTTAAATATCTTCACAATTGTAAAGTTGTTGGATGAAAAAAGAAGCATATAGAGACAGGACACAACAAATAATCCATGCGGAAACATCTTGATCTTGACATATCTGTCACGAGTGTCATGTTTTCGGCATATTCATAATTTTGTTCGAATTTCGAATAGATATATTATAAATCAAGAGCATTAGTAGTTTATTTAGCTGGTGTTGATATCATCTCAGGAAAATTTAAGGAATTTTGAAACACCTCCCCTATTCACACAACAGAACAGACTCACTTCCAGATCAGAAGTTCATAATTTGAATATCCGACAAAACACCCTTCTTCGCGTGCCAAGACATGAAAAAGATATTTTCAAGCGCTCGTTCTTATATGGCCTGGCAGTCTGTATCAACAATGTGCCCAGATTAGATCCTTCGCTGCTATCATCTTCTACCAAATCACCACGGCTAAGGTTTCACCATATCATTCAATAGATTTCTACCATATATGTGAGACCTAAGCGAGCAGATCACCAGTTGATCTCTGATGACGGGAGCCATATATATTGCCTATCGTTGATAATATCTGAATGTTCCAAGTATTTCATGTGCTCGATGTTGATAGCTTTCTCCATGATCGAAATGATAGATATGGTAGTGCGATCGGTGTTGAACGATTGGAAACGCGAACAAACCTATTATATTAAACCTATGAAAGTTTGCGCCCCAATCGAAACACCCTTCACGTAATTTTTCTTACCGATGAGCGATCGTCAGAACCGAGCAATCTGCGAACTTCTCCCTGATCGTGGTTTGCACCAGAGCGTCAGTGTACGGATTCACGTTGGCCGTGGCCTCGTCTAGCACCAGGATCTTGTTGTTCCTTATCAACGCCCGTGCCAGGCACACCAGCATTCATGATAAGAGAGTCAGATGAAACTCTGTCGACCACGGAGACCAGTTTGAGAGCAAACTAGCTAGCAGAGAACATAGCTGCAATCCAAGCCATAAGATGGAAGCTTGGCGAGGAGTCCGTGGTGCCAGAGTCGATCGAATGCCTTGGAGATATGAAGTGCCACGGCTAAGGTTTCACCATATTATTCAATAGATTCCTGCCATATATGTGAGACCTAAGCGAGCAGATCACCAATAGATCTCTGATGACGGAAGACATATTGCCTATCGTTGATAATACCATGATAATACCTGAATGTTACAGGTATTTCATCAGCTCGATGTTGATAGCTTTCTCCATAATCTTAGAAATAATAGATAGCAGTGCGATCGGTGTTGAACGATTTAAAACGCGAAGAAACCTATTATATTAAACCTATGAAAGTTTGCGCCCCAATCGAAACACCCTTCACGTAATTTTTCTTACCGATGAGCGATCGTCAAAACCGAGCAATCGGCAAACTTCTCCCTGATCGTGGTCTGCACCAGAGCGTCAGTGTGCGGATCCACGTTGGCCGTGGCCTCGTCTAGCACCAGGATCTTGTTGTTCCTTATCAACGCCCGTGCCAGGCACACCAGCATTTATGATAAGAGAGTCAGATGAAACTCTGTCGACCACTACATGGAGAGACCTGTTTGAGAGCAAACTAGCTAGCAGAGAACATCGCTGGGGAGGCAAGCCATAAGATGGAAGCTTGGCGAGGAGTCCGTGGTGCCAGACTCGATCGAATGCCTTGGAGATATCAAGTGCCACGGCTAAGGTTTCACCATATTATCCAATAGATTGCTGCCATATATGTGAGACGTAAGCGAGCAGATCACCATCAGTAGATCTCTGAAGACGGAAGACATATTGCCTATCGTTGATAATACCTGAATGTTACAGGTATTTCATGAGCTCGATGTTGATAGCTTTCTCCATAATCTCAGAAATAATAGATAGCAGTGCGATCGGTGTTGAACGATTTAAAACGCAAACAAACCTATTATATTAAACCTATGAAAGTTTGCGCCTCAATCGAAACACCCTTCACGTAATTTGTCTTACCGATGAGCGATCGTCAGAACCGAGCAATCGGCAAACTTCTCCCTGATCGTGGTCTGCACTAGAGCGTCAGTGTGCGGATCCACGTTGGCCGTGGCCTCGTCTAGCACCAGGATCTTGTTATTCCTTATCAACGCCCGTGCCAGGCACACCAGTTGTCGCTGGCCCACGCTGAAGTTGGCGCCACCCTCCGAGACGGCCGTATTCAGGCCGGCAGGAAGGTCCTCGATGACCTCTTTGAGCTCCACCTGGTCCAGGGCGTTCCACAGCACCTCGTCGTCGTATTGATCGAAGGGGTCCAGGTTTTTACGCATGGAACCTGGAATAGACAATATCATGATTGATCCATCAACATTATATATACCAGTTCGTTTGAAAATCTCAACATTCTCAAAAAATCATGAGGTCAACGTAATCTGACGTCACTGATTTGATTTTTATGATCCAGTAGGGGCATTAATCTCTTGCTCAACTCAAACTAACAGAAAGCTTGGTTTACTGCTCAACAGAAACGTACACAAAGCAGTGGCACAAATTTGCTTTGCTTTTGATTGGAGGTTTTGATCGTTGATGTTGATCGAGAGAAAAGAATAAGTGATTAAATCGATAAAACCGTTGGGAATGTCAACAATTCTACTCACTTATGCCATATTTATACATTCTTCTTTGAAAATTGAATCAGATGTGCTCCTGATGAAGGCTCCAAAGACAGTGGAGTGCCTAGTGTATTTATTTGCTTATTTCTTCTTGGACAACATTTTTTTGTACGAAAAATCGACGTTTTTCAAAATCTGATGTGTGTATCTAGAATTTATCTTGGATTGCTATGAAAGAGTGTTACTCAACACATGTTTTATCAGAATGCGGTGAGATTGAGACATTCCATGCGTCAAAATAAACGAGATTAATCAAATAACTCTGTTTCATCACTGTCGCAGCTTTGATATATTCCTTTTCTTTGTTTTGATGACTTGGCAATCAGAATCTGGCTCGAATAACCAAAATGTTATTGATGGACTAGTATGTTTTCCTATCACTTTAAATCAAAAGATAACCTCTTTAATGCCCATCGCGAATATTCCACCTTTTTTATGATGATGAAGAAAATTGGGAAAAACGACGAAGACATCGATACATTTGAACCATCAAGGATTATCGTTGACTGAAAGATATTGTTTGAAGTCGTCACAATCTCTGAGGTTCCCATAAGATATGAAAAAACTGAAAAATGTTGTACAATCGAACAAGCAGAGCTGTTCGAGATAATTATTATCAATATTGAACACAGTTGTATGGAAAATTCTGCCAGAAATCCGTGAATATAGAGTCCCAAGGATAGATTTGCCAAACTACTACTTCTTAATACCGATACTCGTAAAAATATCACCAGAGCCAATCCAGAAATTCCACGATTGAGTAAGCTACCTGCAGTTGAACTTACGAGCTATAATCGCTGGAAGGAACCATTTTGGACGAATCAAATTATGTTTGTTGGGAGAAGAATCGAGAAGCAATTTAGCGTACTATTTAAATGTATGGCCATGGATGCCTGGAAGTCGATCACTGTTTATAACTACTGATTTGTTTATCACTGGTCATTGGAAGAATGCTATCACGAAGAGGGACACCAAATACTATTTATTGTGATCATGAGATGAACTCAGAGGGTGGAGCAAAATAATTTTTGACTCAAATTGTTCATATTATTCTATAATCGCTACAGCACCCACCTGAAAACAGCACCGGCTCTTGTGGAATAATCGATATCTTCGACCTCACTGTATCCAAAGGCATCTTCGTGGTATCTTCTCCATCAATGATCACAGTGCCTTCCAAAGGATATAATTGAAAAAGTGCAGTTATGGTAGATGATTTCCCGGCACCGGTTCTTCCGACGATACCGATTTTCTCTCGTGGCTGGACCAGGAAATTCATATCTTTCAGTACATACGGCTCGCTATCGCTGTACCTCAACTTCACATCTCTGAATTCGATTTGACCTTTTTCTCCCCAATTAGCAGCAAGGGGCTTCTCTTGTTTTCTCTCCGGTTCACTCTCTAATTTAGTGTACTCCAGAATTCTTTCTACGGAGGTCATATTGTTCTCCAGTTCTGTCCATTGCCTCATGCCCCATTGCAGTGTTCCTATTAAGCCGATGTATTGGGTCACTACAAGACCCAAATCTCCTCCTTGCATTTCTGAAACCAAAGCACTATATTGAAACAACGTGTGTCTACCCTGAAGGAATAACGGTATAAGGATATTAGGCCAGTCGTTACGTACAGAAAAATTGCTGAAATTTCAAAAATGGTGGTAAACTATGCCGCTACCGATCATTGTCAGGCAGTATATTATTCGAGAGACACACCATAAATAAGCATCCCAAGGAAAATTGATGTCCAATGGAACCAACAATAAGGAATGCCTTATTAGAATGTTGAATGATGAATTCCAGAGGAACGAAGTGGATGCCAAGCAAGCAGAAGAGGATGCCGATGTACTGATTGTGGAGACGAAAGCTACGAAATGTGAAGCATTTAACAATTTCATCATTCTTGAAGAGGACATCGATTTTACTTTGTATTCTTTATGGACTGGGCTCCACCTATTCCAATGTATGTCTCCATAAAACTGGCAGAAAAGACTTAGATCCCACCCAGTTTTCCTCCTCCACATTAAATAGCTAAATTTATGGCTATCCATCAGGCATCGTGTTTTTCCTCCATGCATTCAGTGGGTGTGATACCACCTCTGCCCTATTTGAGCAGAGAAAATTCAAATTCCTTGATATTCTCAAACGAAACCCCCGCTTCGTTGAACAGTTGGGTTTCGTGCAGTCAGATATCAATCAATCAACTTTATTATTCCCAAGAAACAATATTTGTTCATGCAGAGAACATGGTGAATACATATATTTGACAAAATAAAATAAAGAAGACAGTAAAATAAGACTCACACTCAAGGAGAATCTTTTTTTTTTTCAAGTTCAACTGAAAATGATTATCAATTGACTCAGCTGTTAGGTACCCAATACAAAACACTAGTAGTTGTACAAGAAAACTATAAAAATGAGAATATCAGTTTATGTTTGAAATTCGTTTTCAATGAACTGAAAATAATAAAGTATTCATCGATACTGACTACTATACGTTGAAAGTGGGTGTGTGTGTTCATGGTATTTAACGAAGATGTTATGTTATATATCATTATTTTTTACAGATGCAGTGAAAAAGATTAGAGAAGGCTACCAATCAGAAATACACCACATCATCGTGCCCGCGGAACTGGAGGAATCACACGATATACGATATACGATATGGAAAAGTGAAATTGAAACAATTACCTGATTCTCTGTTTAAATTATTATGTGCCAATAGATGTATACTAATATTCAAGTATGGTGGAGATGACCGAGACTTGTCAAACTTAAATTGTGGCTGGACCAATTTAACCTATTATCCAAGGTGAAACCCAATAATTTAACAGTTTGGAATTCAGGTAATGGCTGAGCCGTAGATATCACCATATTTTGCGATTTATCGTTATTCATCCTAAGTTTATTAACAATAGTTGCCTCTTTCTTGTATTTGAACAGATTGATCAGCAAGAGTTGAAAGATGTTTTGCAGAGTAAATGAGCGATATATCATCAGTAAATAATACAATGTGACATGGTTTCATATAGTTGTAGATATGAATGATTATTAATCTAAATCACAAACAAAAGCGGACCCGACACAGATCCCTGAGGCACACCTAGGTTAATTGGTTTCATTGGTTCCAGAAAATTCATTGTCATAAAAAACTGCCTGGAAACGAATATTTAAGTATGTTTTATTAGGTCTAAAATAATTCCTCTAATACCATAATGTGAAAGTTTTTCGAGTAATATGTTGTGGGAAACACAGTCGGAAGCTTACTACTTCATTATGGAAGATAACTACAATGTGAACTCACCTTTACTGAAAACAAGTAAAAGGAAAACTGCAACTGCGATGAATACAATACAAATGATATCGAGCCAAAATCCGAAGCATTTGCTCGAAGCCATATACAAGAACCAGGCAGCACTGTGAACATCCTGATATTCATCGAACTCTTTGATCAACATTTCTTCTGCAGAGAAGGCTCGAACTGTGCTTAGTCCGTTGACGGTCGCAGTCAGATGGCTCAGCATAGGACTCTTAGCTGAAAAACATTGTTTTCTATACATTCGTAAAAATCATAATTCCTCCTTTTTTCCCTCAACTTACTTATTGCTTCTATTCGTTTTACGCATCTACTCGTCTTGATGTAAATAACTCTGACAAAGTAGAATATAACTATTAGAACAACAGATGGGACAATTAACCAAGGTTCAACAATGGATGACAATACAATAACACCAATGAGCAGAAGAAATATCTGAAATGATTCCAATTATTGTTGATGTGCATAACTTATCTGATTACAAATTACCTCAGTTACATCTATTATAATAGATGGAATATATTCGTCAATAGTTCCTAAGTCTTTCGAAAATCTGTTAAGGATTCTTCCTGAAGGGTTCGTATTATAAAATCTCATAGTAGCCCTTATTATCCGTGAGAATATAAAATCGTGCAAATTTCCAGATGCCACTGCGAAAAACATCATGAAATAAATCGATTTCACCAAACCAATAATTATAGTTCCAATGGTTAGAGCCGAATAGTAATAAATTATAGTATTTCTTTCGAAGGTCTCATTTGTTTGATTATTAGTTATTCTGTTTGTAAATTCTTGCTCCTGATTCACCCTAGAACGAAAAAAAATGATACAACTCGTAGCTACCTTTTTTGTCAACTCACCAATATGATACATAATATTCCCCACCATTAGCAAAAACTTGACAAAAAATGAATAGGAATATTAGAACTGTAATTGAAACTTTTCCTCCGCCTGCTCTAAAATAGTTCCAATAAGTCTCTGCTTTGATGCTACCAGATCCTTGGAATTCCTTCTCCATAATTTGATCTTCGTCATCTTCACTCTCGGATTCTTCCACAACAGTATTCTGTCTCGATTGGATTTTCTTTTTTTGTTTTTCCACCACCTCCTCGCTATGGAAATCTTCCATCATCTTCGCGAAATCCAGTCCACTCTTCTGCAGATCTTCGTATGTACCTTCCATCTCAATTTCGCCATCATTCATGATGATGATATTGTCTACATTTTTGAGATATTGCAGTTGATGCGTAGCTAACACACAAATCTTGTTCGATAAAAAGTCTTTGATGCATCTCTCGTACAAATGTTTACCAACGTTCGCGTCGACCGCCGAAAGTGGATCGTCAAGAAGGTAGATGTCGGCTGATTTATATATGCACCTAGCCAAGTTGATTCTGGCTTTCTGCCCACCACTTAGGGCCTTTCCCTTCTCGCCAACCAAGGTTTTATCTCCGTAGGGGAATAAGGCGAAATCTGATCTGAGAGCACACACGTCTACGACTTTCTGATACAGCTCTTCATTATATTCTGCGCCGAAGAGGATGTTTTGTCTTACGCTAGCGGCAAAAAGCCAAGGCTCCTGAGATGCGTAGGAAACTCTTCCTACCAGTTCCATTTTGCCAGACTTCACCGGCAATTCTTTGAGCAGTAAATTGATCACACTGCTTTTACCACTACCTACAGGCCCAATGAGAGCTAATATCTTGTTTGAGGAGACACATACGCTGATGTTACTCAGCGTATCTTCTGCTGCGTCCTCAACCCATTTAGCAGATACCTTTTCCAGTAATATTTTAGCTTTGGGATTTCGTTGGGGCAATTCTTTTGTGTCTTTGTTCGTACCGTTTTTGATAATAAGAGGTATCGAGTCGTTTCCGTTCAGTTTGTCGAAGTGATCAACTGATTTTTCTTTCTCCTCAAATGCTAGTATCTTTTGTATTCGTAGTATGGTGACGTGAATTTCAGCTAAAGATGATACACTCAGCGAGAACAGAATTGTAATAACAGGGCGAAGGCAATTGTAGATAGCAGTTATTGCGAAAATTTTGTCAGCGGTTATGTAATTTCCTAGTAGAACGTATGCCAAGATACTGATAAAAATAGAAGTTCGAGTTATGAATATTTCGAAGGAATATATTATTCCTGTCAGAAAGGAATGTGCTCTGATTGCTTTCATCTCTTTCCTAAAATCGATCGATAGATAACGAGATTGCATATACGGTTTGCTTGATTACTTACCCTCTAGCAAATGATATCAGTTTTGCGAATGAATTTTCCCAGCAATACATCTTGATTACTTGGATACCAGAGATGATTTCGTTCATTAATCGAACTCTCTCATCTGTCCTTAGTGCAGTGCGTAGTCTCAAAACTGATGTTTTATTAGCGAGATATACTGAAATGAGAATTACACATAATGATGAATCATATAAATAGAGAATATTTCTTAATGAAACGATTTTGATTGTGAGTAGCCAACACAATAATAAATTCTTTATCACTTGAGTTTATTCTGTATTATGATGACCAATTGTGTCAACTGGGAGATAACAATAGCATTATGTTGTGTTGAATGTGTAATTAAATAATAGTTGGTAAACATATATTACGTGGTATGTGGTCATGATACTAGTTGTATATAATTATGTATTATGTTTAATGGAACTAAGCTGAACCACTCAATTCCACGAGTATGTTATTTTTCTCAAGGGTTCAGCCCAAGGAAAAGAACACTCAAGGGATTTAACCCTTTCAAGCCCAGTGATGCCATATGGCATCATATATTATATCCACGTATAGGCGCGTTCAGATCATTCGGCAATTGTTTAGGATTATCCCAATGATGCCATATGGCATCATAGTATTTGAGTCATAAAAACTACATGTCTGGCATTTTTTCTTCTTTAACAACCTTCAGAATCTTATCAATGATAGAATTATCGAATGATATATTTTTTTCAACGGATTCAATAATTTGGGCCGGAAAGGGTTAAAGTCAATTTAGTTCTGAGGTATATTATTTATAATTTTGAAAAGAATTATCTACAGTAATATAACGATGTTCGCTGATAGACCAATCAGAAATGAAACTATTGAAAGACACCTATTATTTACGCGATGATACAAGTTGTCTTCAGCTTATGATTGGTCAGATCATGTGAGAATTTCAAGATGAGTGAAATAGTCACCAGATTGAGGTGACCTGGAAATATAAAAATATACAGGGTGGTCCGGTTTGTAATACAGAAAATCCAACAGTTTGTTGTAGTCGTAGAAATAATGAAAAAGTCCATATAGACATATACTTTTGAACACGTCGTTTTCGAGATATAGGGTATGGAAAATACGAGTCTGAATATTGTTTTTTGATGAAAAGTTCGAAACGATTTGAGATGAATAAACAAAATTTCTCACAGATGCTATACTTTTGACGCTCTATAAGATGAAATAAAAATTATTTCATGAAGTGATTCAGTGGCGGCTGAATCTGGGGGTAGTGAAGGAAGAAAACAGATAGATTTTTGCGTACAATAGTTCTCTAGTATTTTTGAAATGGGTTACAACGTTTTAGAATTGAACCGGATTAACAATATGAGAAATATAAGCAAATAAAAAATAATAACTGGACAATCACAATAAAACTTCAATTTACCTTCACCACCCCCAAATTTAGCTGCCATTGAATAACTTTATGAAATAATTTTCATTTCATCTTATAGAGCGTAAAAAACTTAGTATCTGTGAGGAATTTTGTTGATTTATCTCAAACCTTTTCGAACTGTTTATCAAAAAACAATATTCAGACTCGTATTTTTCAACACCCAATATCTCGAAAACGACGCATTTAAAAGTATATGTTTATATGAACTGAATTAGTTCATAATTTTCGGTGTATATTCGGAAGGCTAATTGGCTTACCCAAATGTTTCAGTGCATGAAATTCAAATGATAGTGGCATAACATTCATTGTTTTGCATAATAAACAATGAATATTGAAAACAGTTTCGAAAAATTATTTTTGTCATCAAATAGTTCAGCTTTTTTCCTCAAATTTTCTGGTACGGCCCTGCCGTCCCTGACGAACCATCACTAATACTGAAAATATTTTATTGTTTATAAGTTTCTAAACCAGGAAGTTACGCATTATTTTTCTGATTTTCCTTAGTTTTCAGTTCGGGCTTGTCCGAATGTTTGATCACGAACAGCAAAACTTATCATACATACGGGTGAGTCAATAGTGATGTGTTCTCCTTCTATATTAGTCAAATCGTCAGATATATAGAAAAAAATCGAATACAACAGCTATAGGGTTTCTTGGGAACTGTCACCTGAAATTATTTAAATTTCTATAGGGTGTTCGAATTCCAAGATATCGGTTGATGATGGGTGTTTTCAAATGAGACACGATATTATTATATTCTTAGATTCTCCCTTAAGAGCTGATTTCATCAATGTATCGCACTTAATGTTTATAGAGATATAGGGTGTTTAAAATCTATATTTTTCAACTTTGTGATTTTTTTGTGTTAAAACTATTTATTATTGGTCGAAACGGTTTACATGTTCCTATCTCAACTTTTGATTCACCATCTACTGACACTTAATTGGAACAAATTCAGGGTGGTTCAAAATTCAAGATTTCTGATCACCCTGTATCTATTTCAATTAAATTTCAGTAGATAGTAAATCAAACGTTGAGAGAGGAACATGTTACCCGTTTCGACCAATACTGAATAGTTCTGACACAAAAAATTTTCGATTCTGAACACTCTATATCTCTGTAATTATTTCCGCTAGACCCCAAGTGTGATGCATTGATGAAATCAGCTCTTCAGGAAAATTTGAAAATGCAATAATATACAGGGTGTCCCATTCAAAAACACCCATCATCAGCCGATATGTTGGAATTCGAACATCCTATAGATATGAAAATAATTTTAGGTGAAAGCTCTCATAAAATCCCATAACTGTTGTATTTAAATATTTTATATATACCTGACGGTTTGGCTAATAACGAAGGAGAACACACTTTTGACTCACCCTGTATATTCAGACTAGATTAATCGAAATTTGAATGGAGGAGACGCTAGAATTGCTACAGTGAAGTCATTGGGGGGAAAATGTACCTCCTCTCATTTTTTATTCGGAAGGGCTGAAAAATGTATACTCACTTTGTAATGGTACAAATGAGACCAAAAACCCTACGCCAAACAACGATCCGATCCCGATTTGCCTATAGAGTAGCCATGTTCCCAAGGCCACCTGGATGGGTCCGATCCAAGCGTAATGGGCCAAAACGAACATCTGATCGAACTTCGAGACATCGTTGGATAACAAGGTCACCAACTGCCCTACCGTCGTGTTGCCCAGCGCCGTTTTACTGAACTTCAGGACTTTTCTGTACACTAGCGAACTGCAGGAGACTCTCAACTTCATGGAGATGTGCTGTAGGCCCATGAACGTTGGGTTGGCTAGGAACGTGTTGACTATCAAACATAATACTAGGATGCCAGCATAGATGAAGGCTTCGTCTTGAGATGTGGACGTTGGGCCGGTTTCGAAAAATGACACTAATTTTCCTATACATAATGGCATACCAATTCTGAAAATGAATTTATTTAATAAGAAGAAAATTGTAGATTATTATGACTTTGAACTGAACTACTAAAATAATGGGTATCTTGCAAACCGTTGGATACTGAGAAAGAGTAAATATTCTCATCACATAGAGAATGCGAATTCTCAATGTATTGCTTTATATAAATATATATCCATTTTTGTATGTTCATAATTTATCTGAGAATATTCCTTTTCAACACTTTCATACCCAATCAGGGGGTTCAAACTTGAACGATGGAAACTTGTGATTTTTATAGACCTCTAATCGCAAATTCGTGATAGAGTCTCAATTCAGAATTTCTTTCCACGCCCTGTATGATGAATGTCAATTTATCATACACCCAAAAGCGTTGGATACTGGTTTGATAAGTTGCTCGCTGGCAGTCAATCTACTACTTTGCTGCCTAGTTAAACAAATAACTATTGTGGGCTACATAATATATGTCTCTAATCTTTGTTTTGTTTTCTCTCTACCCATAGTAGATTTTATGAGAACTGCATGGCTTATCTGTAATCTCATCGATCGTCCATCTGCCATTTTTCACGAAAAAAAAAAAAAGAATTTGTAGCATCAACAAATTATTTATGCCTGAATAATTTTTGTTGGACTGAGCAGTTTTCTGTTGAATCAAACAAATACATAATTATTTCATGGAAGCAGCTTGTTCAAATCAAGGATGTAGTTTAATTGAATCAACAGTATAATATCAATTCCATCAACAAAATATATGCATGGTTATCTCAAAAACAAATGAGGTTGATTTGATGAAATAATGATCATTTTGATAAAAATATATCTTTGAATCAACATACAAATTTTCTTATTCCGATTTAGCAAAGAACTCATTTCGAACGGATCATCTGCTTGAATAGAGCAACGAAATATGTAATATCAATAAACATCAAGTTAAATTTTCGCCACTAGATGGCGATATTTTTGCCTCGTCTATGCCTGCCTCAAATTCATTATATACATGAAGACTGATTCTTCCTGTTTGAAATATCAGCTGGATAAATCGAAATCAGGATGCTTAGCAAGCCAAAATAGCCTTGCATCCGTTGAAGAAAAGTAGAGAATGGAAATATGTGCTAGAAGTCGACTAGTTTCCTAGTTTAGTTTATTCTATCGATGTAAAATCTCAGAAAACTCCCGAATCAATACTGAATTTGGTTCAATAAAAACAATTTGCCGAATGGAATACAGTTTTCCTTGAATCAACGAAATATTTCATTCAATCAACCAAATATTTCATTGAATCAACTGAATATCTGATAAAATCAATATCTTGTTATTTTAATAATAATAATAATAATAATAAATCGACTTTATTTATAAAAGTATGATGAAAACAAATACAATTGTTATGATCATTAAGGGGCGAAATTTAGCTAGGCTACTCTTACATCTAACCCCATAATGATCTGAATAATATAAGATAGCATGTAAGAAAAGATTATGTGATAATGACATGGTTACATTACATGAATTTACTAAATTATTACAGACTTACATCTTTGAATCATACCATTCACATCAGAATAATTGATTAGATCGGTAGGTCCGATAAGAGATTCTGCTTGAAACGATGCTTGAAAGCAGACTTACTAAGGTTCATTATATTGTCAGGTAATGAATTGATCAATTTTATAGCATTGTAAGTGAATCCTTTCTGAAAGAGAGTTGTCGAATGATGTGGAATGGTTATGGTTGTCTTTTTTCTTATATTCACGGAATGAACTTGAGACCGTGGAACTAGATTACTTTTTATGTCCACCGGACCTGTTTGCATGACTTTCTGTAAGTAAGTTGCCAAGTGTAACTTTCTACGACTTTCCATATTTAGCCAATTGAGCTCTTTTAATTTTTGACTAACATGATCATATTTTCTGAGACCAAAAATGAATCGGATACAATAGTTTTGTACTTTCTGTATCTTGTTTCTGAACGCTGCATCCAGAAAAGGTCCATAAAGAAAGTCACAGTACGTAAACTGGGATAAAACTAGACTCTCACATAATTGTTTACGTAACTTTGGGTTCAGTATATATCTGTTGGAATATAAAACTTTCAACGATGTAAAACTCCTTTTAAGTAAATTATTTATATGGCATTTGAAACTAAGATCATCGTCCAACACCAATCCTAAGTTTCTCACAGAGTGTTCAACGTTTATCTGAGTTCCATTGATGCTAACTAAAAGATTAGATTTAATATATTCGTACTGATTGCGAGGTGAAAAAATTAGTAACTTCGATTTTGTAGAGTTCAGTTTCAGATTATGTGATGAACTTTTAGAGGAGATAACGTTGAGATCGTAATTGAGATCAAGTTGCGCTTGCTCTAACTTATCAACAGGGAATTTAATGACAATTTGTGTATCATCTGCGTATGCACATACACTGCATTTATTTATAGATTTCAAAATATCAGCTGTATAAATTATAAACAATAGTGGTCCAAGAATGCTACCTTGGGGAACCCCTGTTGTGATATTAACGTATCCAGACTGATTACCGTTGGATAATATTTTTTGCTTTCTATTACTGAAATAAGATTTTATCAATAATAAAGCATCATGAGAAAATCCATAGGAAGTCAATTTTGCCAGAAGGAGTTTGTGATTTATTGTGTCAAATGCTCGAGAAAAATCAAGTAGAACAAGTGCGGAGCTTTCTTTCTTGTCTAATCCTGCAATGATATCATCTAACACTCTGACAAGTGAATCGGAGGTACTAAGATTTTTTTGAAAACCTGTTTGAGATGATGGAATAATGTTCGTTTCCTTGGCAAAATCAGTGATTTGCGCAGCCATGAGTTTCTCTAGAATTTTTGAAAGACACGGTAAAATACTAATTATTCTCAAATCTGATAGAGTAGTAGGTTTAGATATTTTTGGTAAAGGGCGCCCCAGAGAAATTTTCCATAGTGTAGGAAATGTTTGTCTTTCGATAGAGTAATTAATTAAATGTGTAATGAAAGGGTCAATGAAAGGGCTGCAGTGTAAAATCATATTGATTGATAAATCATCAATACCATAAGCTGCAGATTTAATTTGCGAAAGATAATCATGGGTTTGCTCCACACTGATCATCTTGAACTGAAAGTTATCAGCTCCTTGAAATGAATCATCATTCTCATAAAAATCAATAGCATCCGTACAGTTATCATCCGACGAACCAGACCAAATTTGAGCAAAGAAATCATTAATTTTATTAGGATCTGAAATGTCGTCAGGAATTGAATTACTTTTGTTCTGAGCCACCTTAAGATTTCTCAATGTCTTCCAAACACGTCTGCTATCATTATTTCTACAAAAAGTATCAATATATGCTTTTTTCTCATTCCTAATAAGCGTAAGTGTTGAATTACGTAATCTTTTATAGTCCTCCCAGTCACCATCTAAGCGAGATTTTTTAAATTTACTCAGTGCTTTATTTCGCATCTTTATCGCATCCTTCAAGTGTTGATTTAGCCAAGGAGCACGTGGTTTTGTAACTTTAGCCGATCGTTTTGGAGCATGAAGGTCAAAAACTTGGAATAAAAATCCGTTGAAAATTTCCACTTTTCTATCTAGCTCAGTTTCATTCAAGAGTTCAAACCATGGTAGTTTATGTAGATCTTCTTGAAAAGCTTCAGAATTAAAATTTGAGTAATCCCTGTATGTGACGAATTTATTTTTAGCTTTTTCAGTTGATTCTAAATCAACAATACAGTGAGAAAGACTGTGATCCGATTTCAGATCCCCACTTATTGTTCCTCCGCTTATAGCGATGTCCTTATCATTAATGAAAATTGGATCTAATAGAGCTTTACCCCTGGTCGGTTCTTTAACTAGTTCAACGAAATCATATGAGTGGAAACAATCCCTAATTATATTTTTTGGCAAAAGTAAGTCATGATTGAGGTCACCCAAACAAATCACAACATCAGAAGAAGGGATAAAGTTACTTAAAATGCTCTCTATGTCACAAACAAAATCTTTCAGTGAATTATTTTTTGGAGGTCTGTATAACACCCCAACAGTTATGAATCTACGATTAATTTTAAATTTAATCCATAAATACTCACATGCATGATTTGATAGCTCCAAATCAATATTCATCAACTGACATTTGATATGATTTTTTATGAAGAATCCTACCCCACCTCCCCTAGTAAGCCTATCTTTTCTCAAAAAGTAATAGCCCGGTATAACAAACACATCAGCTCCCACATCATTCGACAACCAAGTTTCAGTAACACCTACAATATCCAAGTCCATATTTAATACTAATTCTGAAAATTCGTAAAATCCTGTAAAGATCGACTGTAAATTCAAATGTCCTACCTTCATTTAATATTCACTAAGACGCAGCAAGCAGAACCTCTATCGCTCCCTCCCACCAAATTGCAAAAAAAAATATATATATATTATATTATGTGCCAACGAAAATGATTATGGTACATATAATCCTGAACTATTCCACTGAAACAACAGATATATAATGATGAATCACATGATAATTACCCTAACAAAAAAATATATGAAAAATTCAGTTATAGTCCTGTATCATCGTCCAGCATGTAGGTTGAGAAAAAAAAAAAAAAAAACAATATTGTAAATGAAGATTCAAGGTAACCGCTAGATCTCACTGAGGAAAATCTATTTTAATTTCTTTTCTAAATGAAGAACTCATAACAAAACTTATACGACTAATTGATGATTATATCTAGATTTATCTATATTCATCTTCTATGGATCAGATCATGCGAATAACACTGAATATTAAATTATAGAAAGAACAAACATACCTATATGAAGCCCGACAAAAAAAAAACAAATAAGTCAATCATTTTCCTGTAACAACAGATATGATAACAATAAATCCCATGATAATTACACTGAAAAATATTATGACAAATTCAGTTACAACCTTATATCATCGTACATGTATATATATATACACCCTGTATATATGTATGTTAGAAGGAGAAAAAAAAAACATATTGTAACTGATAAAACATATTGTAAGTGATAATTCAAAGTAACCACCAGATCTAACTGAGGAGGAATTCTATTTTATTTTTCTTCCTTAGTGAAAAACACATAGGTATAGCAATATTTATTCACGACTAATATATTATACTTGTGGTTTTTGAAGTATAATGCCATATATTAATCCCGCAGGGAATAAAGACTATTAATCCCTCGCCATTATTCCCTGCGGGATTAATATATGGCATTATACTTCAAAAACCACAAGTATATATATTAGTCGCAAATAAAGTAGAGTATACTACTCGCAATAATGGCTATTATTCTCTCGGAATGTTACTCCCTCGCCGCTAACGCGGCTCGGTTCGTAAAAAATCCTCGAGAATAATAGCTATCATTATTGACTCGTGGTATAATCTACTATTATACATCTAATTGATTATAACTATATTTATCTTCTATGGATCAGATCATAAATAACACTGAGTTGTAATTTGCAGAAAAATAAGCATACCTATTAAGCACAAAAAAATGAAACAAATAAATCAATCAATTAACATCATAACAATATCACCAGATAGTAATGATTGACAAAATATATATAATATTTTTCCAGATTCATTCTGAAACTTCCAGAAGCAATTCTTGCAGTTCCTTGAAGTTGGGCTTTATAATAGAGTTATCTACTTTCCACCTGATTTTTCCATCCAATGTCCATACGCTTTTATTGCCATACTTTTTTTCAGCGGCCCGCAATGCATTGTATCTGAAGATTGTTAGGTCTTCTTTAACGACTACACCGGTTCCTTTGAATTTTGATTTGGCTCCAAACACTAGTTGCTTATTTTCAAATGATTTAAAATCATTTTGAATCAAACAAAATGATTGACTAGTTTGTTCTTACCATACGTCATATATTGTATTAACAACGATGATATATGGGATATTTCGAATTATCCAAGGTCGGCGCAATTCGATATTCGTACTGCGCATACTCATCAACCAATTTTTCCAAGCATCATTGCATAGTCTGCACCCAGGGATATCCATTGTGTGGAATAATTTTCTCAGTTGGCAAGTCCTGATGCATGATGAGCTGTCTATTGGTAATTTTTCAGTGAGTTTGTGTGAGAGAAGTTTTGAATGATTCCCGATCACTCTTAGTAATTCAGTAGCTTACAATAAAATTGACATTTCGTATCCAATTCGGACTGATGCTCAGGAATAATGTACTTCAACTGTTCTAATGTATCATGAGATGACGTCACGAAAATCGTGAAAACTTCACGATGTCCCTCGAACATTATAGGGAATCTTTTCTAAACTTTTAAAATGCAATAATTGAATATACACAATAATTGTTTTTTACTGCATGAGCTTAGCGGTGATTTAGATACGGAAATTATATTATCTCCAATGGTTCATGAAAGATACCCATATAGGTACTATATAAGAAAGTGGACACTTACAATAATAAAAGTTCATCTACAAGTTTCAGTATTCCTAGAATCGAATACCACAGACCAAATACTCTAAATAATGCTCTGTGCAGAGCAGTTTTCTTGTGTATCCGGTATTCTTCTTTCCATATTCTTTCTAATTTAGAGCCTAGGATGCTAGATTTGTGTTCTGTGAGTGGACTAAACAGATCATCTTCTGTTAAGGACTCTTTAAATGTCTTTCTAAATATTGGGAACATATATCTGAAACAAATGAAATTGATAAATATTTTGTGTTTATGCCCAAAAAGTTTTTCAGTACCTACTTAATGTAATAAATTACAGAAATTTTTTTCTCATTAACCGCAAATTTCAAACATGAAATGTGATATACATATTAGGTACATGTTAGGTACATGTAGGTATCAAAATATGTCAACATTGCCCTTTTATTCCAGTCGGTCCATCAAATTATCAAGATTATCATTTACCCACTTCCCAATAGTTAAAAATGAAATGTGACCTTCACAAAAGTAAGTGTATTTATAGATAATTTGGACTTTGGATATTATTTATAGAAAATATACACCATATGGTAATAGGATGTGGAATAAATTGGATATCATACTGTTACATTGAGGGTTTGCAAAAAATTACTTGAACACGTCAATAAAATGTGCATGGGGGTCCATTTTTTTAAACTAATATACAGGGTGCCGGTTCATCGAGATCCACCATGGGGATTTCAGTTGTCATATGAGATACGAGGTAAGATAAGATAAGCTAAGATAATATAGATAAGATACGTTTATTATTAACCTCTGAGACAATCACATCAATTGTATAAGACTTGTCATATGGTGATAACATCTTATTGGTACGGTATTCTTATACATGTCGGTACATGGTACATAAGATGTCATTTTTGTGACGTGTATTGAAATTATGAATGCTTTTGTTTTTGTTCATCTTGAATTCAGTATGGTTTAAATGAATATATGCTTACTCGCAAAATATACCAGGTGGTCCATTCAAGACTATGCACCCTCGATAACACGCAGAAAAATGATTTTACAAAAAAATAAAGAAACAAGCCGATTTTTATCTGGAAAAGGACACAGTTTGACGCAAAAAAGATAGTACATACTTCAACCCTCTGCTCCTCAGAGCAACCCCTTGATAATTTGAATAGGGAATAAGGGTCATGTAATACATCATTGCAAAGGTCATTCAATTCTGACACTTGCAATGCAACGTAGTTCACAAAAGCTCCTGAATCGTTTTTCTGCACTTATTATCATGTACTTGGTCTTCTCAACATTAATCTTCAAGTAATTAGTACAACACCAATTGTAAATAGATTTTAAAGTTTTGTTTCAGTGAGTTTCGTGTGATTTAATCGTTCATTCCACTTTGAGCAATATGGCTATTTCTTAGTTGCCACCCCCATTTTCTGAGTATTTCACTTTTGTGGACTGTTTCTTTCCTTCTATGAGGTCTAGATGGCGTTAAACTCGTCTGACACACCTGTGCCCACGGAAGATTGCTCTGAGACCATAGATATCGCCGATTGGAATTCATTGGGCCAGGTTACGCTTAGCCGGTGGTCTTCGGGCTGCTAGCTGGAGACTACCCTACACTGATGAGAGCCAAGGAGCTCGAAACCAGTCTTTAGGTGTCGTTGCGTTAACCTGGCTAGATCGAAATAAATCGGCTAGGAAAAGAAGCACTTGCATTAATATTCGTTAATACGTGTCGGTGCATAGATTTCGGGAGGATGTAATTCATTTTTTTGCATGGCATTAGCCAGGAAAGTTGTTGTTTTCCTTTCGTCATCTACCATTGTTGTTCATTTTATGAACATTTGTGGAAATGACTTTGAGCTATTTTTTCATTGAATATTATTCGCCAATAGCATAGACTACAGAATATTTGGATCAACATCATCATCGAGGCTTGTGAGAGAACCCCAAAACTAAATGAATAAATGAATAGGTGTAGAGTACCAATAAAATGGCCAGCACGCTCGCCGGAAATGGCACCCAATGAATTTTCTCTTTGGTGCCAGCACGCGCGCCAGACTTGGTACCCAATGATTCATTTCTCTGTATTAATTTGGAATCCTCCATCTATAATACGAAACCTAATGACCTGAACGATTTGGAAAGAAGGATAAGGATTGAATGCTACATAATAACAAGATGAACATCGTCAAATGGGCAAGAGAAATTTGAAAATAAACTCAAGTATTGTCCATTCTGTACATATTCATTTATTGGGCATTAAACAACAAACCATTTGAACTCCAAAATCTCGAGGAATTCAAAAAACATTGCACTGCTATTGTAATAATCAAATTACCCTCACAACGATGTATAAAATTCCATTCCATTCCATATTCAAAAAATTTAGGTGGTTGCTCTAGGTTGAAGTATGGATTATCTTCATTGCCTCAAACGGTGTATTCCTCCAAATAAAAATCGAAGCGTTTCGTTATTTTTTTGTAAAATCATTTTTCTGTGACTTATCGAGGGTGGATAGTTTTGAATTGACCACCCGATATAGAGAAGCTACAGTGAGGATATTCATTTTTCTAAATTACGTTTTACAAGTCTTTCTTCTAGAGACAATATATAGATCTGATCACTCGTTTTTGTGCGATAAACACATAGACCGATAAAGTGGACATACCCCAAAGGCAGATACCATAAAATCAGATCTTATTTTATTGGATCCAACTTTAACATGATATAGCCTGAGCAGCTGATCCTCAGATAAAATCGGATAAAATAGAATGTAACCCCAAAGACAGATACTCAAAAATCTGATCTTGGAACCGACTTTTGCATGATATAGACAGAGCAACTGGTATACTCAGATAAAATATAATGTAAGTTTTTAAACCAGAAGGATGATGAAAGTGCTTTCGATGATAAATTTTCACAATGTTGTTTTACGTTAGACAGCTGTCTATTGTAATTCCCAGAAATTGTACCGACGATAATTTGTTTTTTTTGCCAATTATCTCATAAAATAGTTTTTTTCTATGTTGATATATAATCGGTCGGTTGAAGTGGAGAAAAGTTGAACATTTTCATGCTGAACAATTATATGAAAGGAAATTTGAATCATCAGAAGTGAAAACAGGAAAATGTCATCCTCTTTTTTATTTTAACATAATTATGTTAGCTACTTCCGAGGCTACTTCAATCCGATTGATTATTTGAATTAACCAAGTTTTCTAGCAAATGTTCCCACAAGAAATGTTCACCCTCACATGATTGTGGTTGTTGCCAAAGAACCCAAACACCGAGACAAACACTTGAGTTTTGTGGTTGTTGCAGAGTGGCATATAGAATTTTCGTACATAAGAAATAGGCAACAAAAGAAAGGTTAAATTCGAGAGAATTTGTTAAAACCATATCAATAACCTAATATTGAAATTCTTTGATTCTATCTCATTTTGAGAGAAAAATAATAATACTTATGTAATAGAAAAGGCTATGGTAAGCTAAGTATCTACCTAATCGAGAAATAATAATCCGGGAAATAATCAAACCCATTCAATGTTTCATCAGTGTTTTTTCAACGCTATTTTTTTTACCTTTGAACAATCATTGCATGGAAATAGGTAGGTAACGACATGAATATTACCCAGTATCATGACATGATTATTCTCTTCATAGGAGCGAACAAAAGGAACTATATATAATTCTTGAAAAATTATCATAAACTTCAATAGTTTATATAGAAAACTACTATGCAGGGTCCTCCATATATGATGAGCTTTCGCTAATAGTTAGGAGTATATCATCATTATTATTATTATTATTATTATATGGACGTTATTATATGGACGTCATTTCAATTAAAATGGAATACTCATTTTTTTCGGCAACCGTCCGGGAAGTGCTCACTTCCCAGACGCTTTTTCTTCGAGAAAGTAGCTAGCATTTTTCCGGGCCATTCTACCTCAGTAGAACTTTTAACTCAAACCATGTTTATAATGATCATTTTATACATAAATGATGATTGACGACATAATTCGATCGAAAAATCAACTGGAATGTTTTATTTTTGGACGTAAATAATAGTACCTTCTGAAAACGGACCCTCTTATGACGTAGAAACCTCATCTCGCCATAGTTGAAAGAAAATACCAAACGCCCGACGGAGACTGAGGCAACTGATATATTAATTCTTTCAACTGTGTCAGAAATCATGTATCATTCATCTCTGTCTGGAATAGTCTTGTTTCAGTATTGAGGTTTTGACGTCACATCATCGCCTCGTTTTCAGAGGTTTTTTTATAAAACGTAGGCAGCTCACAGCAAGAAACGGTTTGCGGTGGTGAGCTAGTTTGGGTGAGTTCTATCGAATTATGAAATACATTTTTTTTGTGATATAAGAACATTATCGCAATAAACTATCGAAATCAGTAGCGATAGTGAGTTTGAAAATGTCCATACAAAATTTCCAATGTAACAGTTAGTATAGGTATAGGTATACTATTCAAATTTCAGTATTTTATACAAATTAGAATTAATAAAGAAGAAATTGTATTCCATAAAGAAATATAATATGGAAATGTGTATTGAATTGTTATTCTACATATGGTTGCCGAAAAAATTGTGTACACAACACGTCCAAAAACAATTTTTTTCGACTCGCAGACTTCCAGGACTCGTCTACAGCTCGGTCTAGAATTTTGTCTACTGGTCCAAAAAAAAAACAGTAATTTCCGGACTTATTATCTATGACGGGAAAAAAGTGAGAACCTTTTTTCCGGATATATATTCCATATATATGTATACACTGCTTTTGTTATGCTATAGTTCCGAAAAATAAGCCAACAACACCGTCTCCGAGAAAAAACTTCAAGTCCTTTTATCCCTCGTTTTATCCTCCATTCGACTTCGTAAATCACTATATGTATACACAACCACTAAATTGGCAATTTTTGAAAATCAAATCACTGAATTAGACTGACAGATATTTTATTATTTCAAAAGAATGATAAAGATGTTAACGTCGATAATTTTCTGATTTTAGTATAATGTAATATCTCCTCAATATTGATTTGTTGTTTTTCCTGTGACAGAAAAAAATAGCGTCAACCCAACCTGGAGCTAAAATCTGCAACTTTTTTCCTTTCTATAATAAATAACTCGTAAATAACTATTGATCTCACGAGAAATTTGTTATCAATTATTATTATTACATCTTGAATTTATAGAAACATCAGTCACTTACACGCAAAATTTTATATCAATGGAAATAGGAAGAACATCATTGTGAACAAAATATATACAGGGTAATCCATTAAAAAAACTGCTGACTGCTCCATATTTACCAACAATATGATATCGATCAGAAATCAACATAGGCCACTGAGTAGAAGAGAAAAAAATATTGTATTCTCAGTAGAAAAAAAAAACTACTAGTTCAGTTAGTAATCGGTTAGAAATTGGGTTTTTCCACACATATGCCCGCATATGCCTAACCTATTATACTCTATACTTGATCCGGTAGAGGCACTGTCTAGGAGTTGATATCATTAGATCATTGAAATCTATACGGAATCTATACAGAATGGATCTTAGGTATGTCTGCTCACAAGATTTATCACTTTCAACGAGACTTTCAGTAAGTTGATTCAGTTGATTGCTTCATATACCAACATTATTCGCCCATAAAAGATTTTGAAATTATTCTGCACCATCAAAATTTATTTCCATCAACAATGTCAATTTAATCAACCTATACTCCTGAAAATACTGAATACGATACAGGGTGATTCAGGTTTTAAGGCACAAGCTGAAATCGAGGGGTAAATCTTCTTGGAAGTCTGGTGTACACTCCGTTGGAAGTCTTTGGAATTCTTTGGAAGTCTTTGGATCTTTTTGGATGTCTTTGGAAGTCTTTGGATGTCTTTGGATGTCTTTGAAAGTCTTTCGAAGTCTTTGGGAGTCTTTGGAAGTCTTTGGGATTCTTCGGAAGTCTTTGGTCATTGGAAGTCTGGTGTACACATTTTTTCTGGAGATTTACCCCTCGGCTGAAATGGAAGATACATTCCATCATTTTAATCAAAAAAGTTTACATAAACATTAGTCCGATCTTGTTTAGTAGCGGAGCTACAGGGGGTCAAAGTTTAATTATTTTTTTCTATTAATTGAAATATCTTGCTTACTTTTCGAGATATCGTTTTGAAATTTGGTGTGGTCAATACTTTCTAGAAGATCATAATTTCAAGCCATTCAAAGATTTTCAAAATTCACAGATGAGATCTCGGATCTATCCATCGATCGTAAACGACCTAGTAGTTTTTCACGTTTTCCTTTCTGTTCTCACTGATCTGCGAGGGATAACTCTGTGGAAGCGAGGGTGGAACCATTGTCGATCTAAATGAAAATCTAGTAGGCGACCTAGTGCGAGGAGGTATAATAAGCTCTCGCCTATCAACTACCTAGCTAGGTAGTTGTCATCTAGAACGACAATGGTGAAACACATTGAAATGGAATACTAGTGAGGTACTTTGTAATACATCTGAAATACCTTCAAATTCATGTGAACTCATGTCAAATACTTTGAATAGCCTGTGAATTACTGAAATACTGTAAAATATACTTGTGAAATACTTTGAAATGGTTGTGAAATACTTAGAAATGGTTGTGAAATACTTCGAAATGGTTTTGAAATACTTCGTAGTGGTTGTGAAATACTTTGTAATACATGTGAAAGGCTGAAATCTGAAATACTTTGATACTCGCGGATCTGCTGTGTTTATTCTCGGAATCATGTAATTTCAAGGTCCATGTTTTAGCTATAGTAATATGTACAGAGAGTACCTAAATAACACCAACAAAATCAAGGGTTGATTGCTTGAGATACAGGGTATTAATATTTCCATGAAATTTTTTTTTCTATTCATTTCTCAATTGTCTTTTCATCAATTTCAATAGAACGTTGTGGTTTTGTTAATAGTAATATGAAGCTTCTTCTAGTGCAATTGGATTCGAAATAATATTTCCAGTGGCGTCACATCAGTGGGTGAATTTATCGATATTCATGGTGAATGTCATTGTACTCCACCGGTTTTTCTGAGTTTCATATTTTTGTTAGATGGAACTACACAACTGTTTTATGCTCTGTGTGATTTTCGTATCTAGCTTAGTTTTTGAGGAAACAATATGAATTCAGGTCTATTCAAGACTTCCATTGAGATTACTCAATAAGTCAATAACCCCAATTAGAATCATTTGGGAATTTTGGGGCTCTCTCAGTCTCCATCCATACTGAATTTTGGAACCATGAAAGCTTATACAGGGTGGTTATAAATAGAAACAATTGATCCTTCCAACATCCTGTAAGTATCTCAAAAACGGAGCAAGTTAGGACACATGTTCACATGAACTTTATTTGCTAGACTATCACAAGGAAACACCCCTTAAATTTTTAGGTGTTATTTAGATACACCCTGCTGTATATGAATGATTGTGCTATCATAGTACCTATAGATACTATCATTTCGTCCTAGAGGTATTCCCACTGACCTACGAACATGCCTATAGGTCATTATTATTTTCAATGTTGCATCTACCTACAAGTTTCAATTGTATTTTTTTTTCAGGATTTGACAGATGACATTGTTAACGTCACTGCACTGATGAGTCACAGATTTTTGTGTATATGTAATTTTTTGTCAAGTTGCTATATTTATTGCTTCTCAAAAATCGGAATCATGTCATTGTGAGGTGGATGAAAAAATCAGAGGCGCTGGAAAAATCAAATGTGTGAGCTAGTCTAGTACCGAAACTAAACACTGCGGAGATGTTATTTTCAATTGTGTCTATCATGACTTTATCAGAAACAGTTTTATATTTGAATCATTAACAGTTTCATGTTGTTGTTATTATTGTTGTTCATTTATTAATTGATGAAAATAAATACATAAAATGATAAAGGTAATTTTTCGAGTTGATTATATGAATTACCTCTTGATCTGTTTAGGAACCTTTATGATCTGTATGTTGTGTAAGTGAAAACTCTCATTTCAGTTGTGAGTACTGTCAAAAAATGACAATCACTAGTTTCTCAGTACTTTTCAGTTCTATTCTCAGTTCTATTTCTTCGAGATCTTCAGTACTGGAAACGTATTGTAGGGTATTGTTTTTTCTGTTCCTATAGCGCTAGCAATGTGCGTCATTCAATTATTGATTGCTTATTCCAGAAATTCTTTACATAGAGGCAGGGATTAGACGTCAGTTTATTTGCATCAAGGTTTGGCAAAGTTTGGGTTTGACTACAGAAGTACAGAAGGAAAAGGACTCGGAAAAGGTCATGATGTGTTGTAGATGAGCAGTCAGGTAAGGGCTCGGGTAAGGGTAATGACCAGGATATAAGCTGAATGTTGAGTGCCAAATGTAGGTAGGTATTCCTACTTGCTTTTGACTTCTACTATAAGTACTTCAATGCATACAAAAAATGGAATACGACGAAAAAAATTTCAACAATAACCTGTAGATAAAGCTATAATCAATCAAAAATAAACTTACACAAAGGTTAGAAGGGATAGGGGATTCGCATTTTCCGCAGGATTTCGATTTTTGGTAACTTTCGTCCCTGTATCCATTGTCAACGGTAGATATCACAAGTTTAAGTACACTTAACGAGTTTGTTCATGGAAATAAGTAACGTGTGATCGACCCACATGTGTGATCGCAGCTGATTCAGAGCACACCACAACACAAACTGCCGAGCACCCGAACACGTTTTACGTGGGATATATTTATATGCAGATAACGATCCGTTTTCTGGGATAGAATCGGCAACGCTGTGCGTATTTCTCGGTTTGCGCTGTTTATACTACAGGGTGAGAAACAACGTGTTAACCTTTGATGAGCTAACAGATTAAATTGCTCACCCCAGGCCAGGGGCTTCGCTAGCGGTTGATGATATTTTACTGCCATTTTCTCAGGGTGATTATTGACGAGAATAACTAGACGTATTAGCTACTCAGATGTCTCGAAAAGTACATCAAATTGGAATCTGTATGAAATTCGGAATACGGCGAGCGAATGAGGATGTTTTCAGTGGCGTACCCAAAAGTGTACATTGGGGAATACTTTTTTCAAAATACATTTTTATTCATGATTAATAATAAAAATATAATAATTTATTTGAGCCTTGCATGCAGATTAAAATCTAAGCGCCTCGGCCTATGATTTATTCAAATGTTTATGTCACATTTTCATTTCAGCTTTGATAATAATTTTAGGAATATTAGTAGATATATTATGTATATAAACTGACACTGCACCGTTTGAGGAAATTCCAATAGGTATCTTCTGAATGCCTTATTTGTTCCTCCGATTTAAAATATTTATTGGGAGAAAATAGATGCGGAATTTCGTATATCGTATTCATCATCATCGTTGATTTGAGCATGCGCTTTCAAGCTAGTCTCACACAACGACCAACGACACGAAACACTTATTTATACAGGGTATTTATTAAACATACGGCAAAAATTCAAATGTTTGTTCTTTGGGTTGCTCCTTGGACTATTCTGGGAATATTTTGTCCTTTGATGATTTTTGAAATTTTTTTTGTTTAGGAGATACCAGGGCAAACAAAATTTACAGAACAACATTGTATTGCAAAAAATACATCTAAAAGTTACTCAATCTCCTTGAGTTATAGAAAATGACTCCAGCTAAAATGCAAGAAATCAAGATCATCCTCATATTGACTGCAGAACTCTTCGAAAAACACCATCAGGGTCGTTTCTTATCGAGTAACATTCAGCAAATCTTGTACCCAGTCAACGCATCTGTGACATGACATCTCTGAGGTGTCGCGTTTAGGTAACAGTGCGATATCACAAACTTTCCATCGCTGCGATGTTCATATGCAGAAACATCTGCAAACATGATATTTCTGAGATGTCGCGATGAGGCAAAACTTCCATATTACGAATGTTACATCGCTGTGATGTACAGAGGCAAACTCATCTGCGACATGACATCTCTGAGATGTCGCGATGAGGCAGCAGTGCGATATCACGAATAATGCATCGCTGCGATGTACAGAAGCAAACTCATATGCTAGAACTTTTCGAAAAATTTTTATTTAGATATTTGTTGCGTGAACAAGAATACATGCGAATGTACGTTACTCAACAAAGTCAAGTTAGATTTGCAAATATCCGTTACATTTCTATCAAACTCTTGTTGGTTTGCTTACATCTCGCCGACACACACTACATAATTTTTTAACAGTCTGGATTAGTCACTGTCACAACAACACATAACATAATCAATAGTAGATGTCATCAGAAGACAGTGGTGTACCAATTATCACATCATGTTTGAGGAAACCTTCTTTTCGTTTCAAAACACATCGCTTTTCCGTCCCAATAACATATCGCAGTAACATTGCATACAATATCTCGCTGTTATATCGCAGCGACGTCACATGGATGAAACTTGAGTGGGACAAAATAGCATCCTTTGACATCACAGCGACGTCTATTCGACATAGAATGTGATATCACAGGTCCAATTGTTACATCGGTATCATGTAACTGTGTTTGCTGGGTAAGTACTTGGTGAACACAGTGTAGCAATTTTATTCGCACTTTTGACAATTTCAAAAATATCAACGCTATTTATTTCGAAAATTTTGTTTGCCCTGTATTTTCGAAACAAAGAGAGTTTTCAAAAATCATCAAGGAACAAAATGTTCTTAGAATAGTCCGAGGAACGATTTCATGAATTTGTTCCGCACGTTTAATAAACACCAGTTGTATATATATATATATATATATATATATATATATATATATATATATATATATAGAGAGAGATATGAAAACGTAAAATACGTGAAAGACAGTGGTGTCTTTTATATCATCATAAGGGGGGATATATCCCCCTTATCTCCCGTCCCTCGTAGGTACGCCATTGGATGTTCTATATATTTTGAAATAGCTTTCACTTCCGTTGACAGGTACCAATCAGTCTTATTCTCAAACTTCGTAGCATCTAATCTCTCAAACCTGAAATATAATTTTATAAATAGTAATGAATCTCGTTCATTGACGAACGTGAATAAGCCCAATAATTAAGATGCCATCTGAAAATTGATAATTATCACCTAACGACGAATAAGATCAACTATGTTGCGAAATTCACAGATTTAGAGGAAATTACTTTTGAAAGTGAGTAAAGTCAGTGCATGCAATTTTTCAATTAAGGAAAACGATGAGGATTGATTTCCAATAAATCAATAAATCGAAAATGAGGTTGAAAAAGGGGCAGGTATATACAGTATAATGCAAATGTATGGAATAAATTAATTATTTCAGTAATGGGCGACATTTGAAGAAATTCCAAAAACACGTGAGTTCTTATTTTTGAAACCTCATCTCATGACATTCATATGAGAGATGTTACGTCACCGGTGTTGGAGTAATGACGTAATGGACGGTTTTTTAAAATACAAACAGGGGTCATGTGACACATCGTTTGAAAGGTCTACTGATCGTCTATCCAATAGTCAAAATTTTGCAAGAGAAGATTGAAATTAAAATGGATTATCATTTGGTTAACTGAATTTTGCAGAGATCTTCTACTGAGAATTGAACATCGAAGGGTCGTCTAGTTGAAAAAATACATCGATAAAAAAGTTCTGAACTCTACTTTTTGGATTTTTTTCGGAAGTCGTCTTGTTTTGAAATGAATTTATTCCATACATTTGCATCATACTGTATATATAGGTACTACGAACATGATATCGATTTCTTTTTCTTCTATAGCGTACCCACTAACAGCAGCGCATCCAGCAAGCTTTTTTGGACGAAGGAGGGGGGGGGGAGGGACATTACATTATTTCATGTCATGATTTTTTTTTCACAAAATGATAGATTTATCTAATTCTTATCCACTTGTATCATAGGTATAACGATATGAATAGTGTCTTATGTAGAAGTGGAAGAGTTTGTTCGAGAGTATACAGATATGGTTAACATACCTAAATTATGGAATGATCAGAATACCAATACCTATCGAAAATTAGTCTTTTTCACATACAATAAATGTTGAAAATACGTCTGTAGCTCTGTAGGTAAATTGTCACCACTTTACCGTAGCCATCTGGAAGAATTTCTTGGTACCTCTTCGTAATATTTTATTTCAAATTTTGGGATCCATATCACATTTCACAGTAAACTCTGTTGGTGAAATGAGTCGTCGAACATTCCAACGTCTGATATGACAATCTACTCTCTAGGTAATATATTTTCCAATAATGTAGGTATAATGATCTCCTGTAAAAAGTACCTTCTTTCTGAATTCTGAATTGAGAAAACCTAATTACAGATTCGTGATTAGGTTTTCTCAATTCAGAATTTCGGTGTCTGTATGAGTATAGGTTTCCAAAAAACGGAGGGAGTTATTCTGAGCAACCTCCATGGTAAAACAAATAGAAGGGTGTAAGGTGTTCAAGAAATCTAATAAAAGATTCACTTCTAATAATGAACCATCAAGAAGTACAAGGCAGAAACAGATCTTATTAAATAAATTAAATAATGGGAAAGTCGGTGATTTTTGTTCTAAATTCCAAAGGAAAATCACGGCCAATAATGGTGACAGATTACTACCCATTGCAAGCCCAGAGATTTGAGAAAAAAATCTTCATTGAATTGAAAGAAATTCTGCTTTAAAACTGTGTCTAAACGAGAGTTAATATTTAAGATGTAAAAAGATAACAAATCAGCTTTAAAAAAAATTCACGGTCCAACTTAAGGGGGCAAGAGATTCACAACATCAAAAGATAGACGAATAGATTCTGGAGGAATCTCAAAATCTTTAATTTTGTTGGTCAAATCAAATGAATTGTTCATTGACAAGGGATTATGAAATCTTGTTTAATATTCAATTAAAAAGTTGAGCCAATTTTCATTGTTTTGTCTTTCAATTTCATTGTTCTTGGATTGAAGTTGAATAATATGAATGGAATGTTATGTCGATGCAATATAATGAACCCATATCGATAATAATTGCCCTAATCACCATACATAACACATGTTATAGCAATATAGGTGACAATCTTGCTCATAAATAATACATGGTGGACAACAAATGGTCTTCGAAAAAGATATAAGTAATACCTACTTGAACATGAAGATATAAAATAGTACTGAGGCGGAAAAGTCGCTGATAGGATAGCACTGATAGCAGCTTTGTCTTGTGAATACCCCTTCCTATTTTTGCTGACTGATCTTATAGAAAGACCTATGTTAAAAATGTAGTACTCGAAAAACGTATTTCGGATCACAGCCCAAAAGTCCTATAGAGGGTTTAATTTAATTGATGGTTAAAAATATAGGATATGCTGGTTTTAGGGGTTCATCATCTAAACATTCGCTGATGCTCTCAGATTCCATCCAATGAAGAGCCATTCGCCTGGTGGGTGATGCCACACTCACTAAACCGTTGACCTCATTAGAACACCGTAGAAAAGTTGATGACCTTCCACTTTTCTATAGATATTTCCACGGGAAATCTCCATCAGAAATCTCTGCTATCATTTCATCGCTATAGCAAAACCGTTGTCTACCTTAAAATATGTCAAACAGCACTTTACCAAAACTCGTTTGTCTATAAAGAACGGCAGAGGTTTGGATGTCTTCGCCAATGGAAATATTCCCAATAACTTATAATCTTCTGAAGTTAAAAGACCTACCTCCTCTCCTTATATTCTCCCTAGGTGAGCAGGATGTTCTTCGAACATTATGGGAATTTCCTCCCGTGCGGTCCAAGAGATTAAAACAAAGATAGTGATAAACTCTGTAAAATCGTGCTGCGGGCTCATTTTCTGCCAAGGGAAGATATACATTATTTTCGGTTACATTTTCAGAGTTGATATAATTATGATTCTTTTCATATTATTATGGTAGGCGAATAACATATGGAAGCACCAATATAATCGATATGTGAAGGATATTATTGAAAATAATGCGGCAGTTGATTATTTGGATTCAAAAATGTATAAAGATGCATGCCAAATTTATGAATACCGCAGTCTGCGAGCCCGATTCGTTAATGTTTTGGAGTTTTGATTATGATACACTTTTGTGTTGATAGAGTTTTTATATTTGAAAAAGGTTATGCCAGAAAGCTGGTTATATGCTTTCAGTCTATTGATGGCTTCCCACCAGAATCTCATACAAGATATGAAGAAATTTAGTCCTGTTTAGCTTCTGTCGATTATATTCGCGATGAACGGTTTTATTCAATGTTCCTAAATATTTGACTATTTTTCTTCGGAAGAATTCTGACTGCCAAGTGGAATATATTCTGGATTTTTTGTCGGAAAATATTATCACAATGAATTTTACTTCGAACATCAAGAATTCGTTATTGAAACACATTCTGTCGAGTTCGTTGTTACAGCAATCAATTTTGTATCTTCTAAAATCGATAAAAATTATTTCCGTGGAATCTCATTACTCTGGAGTTTATCAAAATAACTGAAGTGGATTATTAACAAACGAATGATATTTTATCTAAGCAAATTTTCACAGAATCACAATTCAGATTAAGATAAACTTGAGTACTATCGATGCTAAATGATAGAAAACTGAAACGAGAGTCTAGAATCGAAAAAATATCCACAAAAATTCAAATATATTCTGTGACCTCTCTATAGCATTTGATTATGAAAATCATGATTTGTGGAGGAATCATACTACTACGGAATCAGAGGTTTGTCTAACGATTGGTTCAAATCCCATTAATCGCAAAGTATGATGTGTCAGACTAGAATACAAAATCTTAGGTAATAATCAATCATATCACGACTCAGAATGTGCTCTTATGTAATCTGGGCCTACAGGGATCAGTGCTAGGTCCAACATCAATTTTGATCTATGTGAATGACATTGTGTGCAACTTTTTTTCAGTTAGTTTTACACTCATCGCTGATATTACTAGCATATTATTCAGTTAATAATAGAAATACTGGAACGGGTATATAAGACTGATTTTTAAAATAGATAATGAGTTAGCTCTCAAACACTCTATTTCAAATATCATTATATATTCAAAGATATTACGAAGATACACACCTCGGTTAAATCTCTATTGTTTACGTAAGCTCAACTGTACTTTTGGGGATAGAGATATAGATAACAAGCTCAACTGGCTGTATCATACATCATTTCAGTCTGAATTGAGTAGATCATGTTTTTCCATGAACTATAAGAATAAATACTTCTGGTATGATGAATAACCATCGATCAATATAATATGATCATATTTATCATTTTTTCAGAGACAAACATCAATATGGAAGGTACCGTGCGATTTAATTGAAATAAAAATAGGTCGGATTTTTATAAAATCATACTACTTAGCAGCTTGACAGATGATAGCTTTCGTGATTTCATAATCACTGAGATAAGGACAAGTGTTCAGTTCTCGAGATACAGGGAGTTGAAGTTGCGAAATAATAATAGTTTTTTCGCAATATCTCAGAATTGATTGAATATTCCACATTCAAATTCGGTATATGGTTTCATCTTTCAATGGTTCATTTTCTGACAAGAAAGATATTTCAAGAATTTCATCCATCTGATTATTTCCAATTATGTTGAAAAAATGCATCACCATCAATTGAGCTTAAATGAACAGTTCTAGAGATATTTGATCCGAAATAGAAGTGTGCATAGTAATTTTTCATCTTTCTCAGTAGTAGAAAATTACAAAAATATTTGTTTTCTGTATTAGTGGAAAAACTATTTCTGTTCAGCTACTGCAGAATAAGATCTGAATAGTATCTGATCTACTCAACACCAGAAAACTATTTTTGTCACATTTTCTACTACCGAAAATGATGAAATATTATATATTCCTATTTTGGGTCGAACATCTCGAAAACTGTTCATTTTAGCTCAGTTGAAGGTGATGCATTTTTTGAACAAAATTGAACAATGAATTCGAGAAATTGGAAATAATCGAAATTTCATCAGTGGCGTAGAAAATATGGGAGGAAAAGTTACCACAACCCCCTGTAGGGCACTACTGGATGAAATGTCCGGAATGGCTTTCTGATGGTCAAAAAATGACTCATTCAAATATGAAACCATTTACTGAATTTGAATGCATTATATTCAATCATTCTTGAGATATTGCGAAAAAACTATTTTTATTTCTCAACTCTAACGCCCTGTATATCGAGAACTGAACACTTGAAGACCACATGTCCCTATCTCAGTGATAATGAAATCACGAAGGCTATCACTAATCAAGCGTTGTCGGTCGAATTTCGCAACACCCTGTATATCAGAACTTATATTTTCGAATCATCTAGGAATCATTATTGATACATGCGATCTCTGTTACTCTATAATTCTATTTTATTGAGCTTGATCAAATTCACATTCCATCAATTTAAAGTACTCATATAGTTAGTTCATGTGGTTCATGCAATAAATATAAACGTCTGGTTCCATTGTTTATTGATCATTTATTTCATTATCATAAAACAAGTGAATGTACCCACACAATGGCAGCACATCTTTGGTCGAGAAATATTCGGAAATATCATAACAATCTCTACACAATTAACGAATTAGATTTATATAATAGAGATATAATCAGTCTATCTGCCATTGGGGTAAGTCCCAATAAACATTTCATGATAATTATGGTTTTTCATGGAGTGAACAATTATTATATTATCGATTTAAGAATCGAAATGAATCAAAAATCTGATCATAAAATACAGTAATTCAGAGGCAAGGTCCATAAATTGAAGGGTTTGTAGACATTACTAAATTAGGGAAAAGGTTCAAACAAATGTATCTCTGAGAATGTCTTCGCATCGAAATATAGAGTGTTCGAGTGACGGTATATGGGCATTATTCAAAGGAGAGAGGAGGTTACCCTTCTCTAATTTTCGAAAAAAGAAGATGGAATATGAAATATAGTTTTTAAATTTTGGAAGCATATTATACTTCAATAAGGATAAGATAATAATATATGCCTAAGAAAGCAACTAACTAATGTAAAAACTGAAGCCATTCAGCCGGTTGGAAATGATTCACTACCAACCAAGTATAGAAAGCTATACTATCACGAAAAGTCCGAGTTATCACTGAGTAACTTATTAGTGATCGTTGTGAAATCGGATGGGGTGAAAATATTATTATGAATTAGGAAAGCAGTGACTGGAAAATAGCAAGGGACACTTTTCTTGATAAAAAGCATTATATCACCATATAGATACATTTTCATTCCGTCATGGATGATTATAATAATGGGAAAGACCACTGATTTTTTGAAACGACATTATCGTGAACTATATACTGTAAAACTACCAGTGAATTTATTTCGAATTTTTTTATTAATGCTAAGACAATGAAAAAAATAAATTAGAATATGTCCATTTCAAAACACACAATTCCCATGCCATTTGAAATTTTGTCAATTCATTGGTGTGACTGGTGTGACGTCTTAGTCCCAACACGCCTATTGTCCTTGAACTGACCAATCACACTGCAACACTGCAGAATGACGAGGTATCAGAGAGAGATAACTACATTTCGGGACTAATACGTCACGGCTCCACCATTATATTTGGTTTTCTGAAATATCGAATGGAATATGCTGATTTCAAAACGATGTAGATTCGATTTCCTTCATCTTCAACTCATAATATTGATTGTACAAAAAACGTAAATCATAATTCGTCGATTGAAAGAGGTTTGGACGGATTTCTTTCCTCAGTGGTCTTTCCCCCTCATATCATTCTTGATTTTCATGGAAATAATGTCATGAATCTGGATAATATATAATATCATGTGATAAGTTTTCGTTCCGAATAGCAAAAAGAATGTATTTATTGAACTTTCTTCCAGCTTTGTCCACAAGTCCTTCAATTTATAGTACCTAATTACTTGCCATTGAATCATTGTTCTACTCCGGGACCAAAAAATCTAAAGCAACACTGCAAGCAGTTGAGATACCATCTTAATTCTTCAAGACCTCAAGTATCTTTCCTCCTCTTCTGGACAAGTTGCGGCCAATGGCTTGGGGAACTTCTGGAACAGCGGTTGCTGCTTCCAAGTAGTGAGCTTCAGTGGGAGAACTATCAACTACTTCTTCGAGGACTTCTTCACCGCCGAAGTTTCTGTTGAGTTCGTAAAATCTTGGAGATTCTTCACATTGAATCGCTTCGTCGGCTCTGGTGCATGTGAACATTTCCTGAAAATAGTACATTGTACATCAAGAAACAGAAATGCAAGACTTTTTCCTAGGTACAATAAAGTCGGTTGAATTATGACATTATGCCTAACAAAATGACGTTTCAAAACTTGCAAAATTCTGAGTACTTTCAGAGATCCAAGCTATTGAAATTAACCGAAATTAATGACACTTTGCCATGACCACTTTTTTCCTACAAATTGGCGTTTTCAAATTTGAAATCTGACATTTCGTCATCAAGAAACAGTCATCAGCTCATGTTTTTAAATACAGACTTTTTATTTAATTTTTCACACATTCGAATATCACAAAATGTTATTTTATTTTCGAATGTTTGGTTTACAAAAATTGACATTTTCTGTATTTTTTTAATATTCAATACGAAGCAGTGAATTTTTGTAAAGGAGACATTCGAAAAAAAATTGTGATAGCTTATAGCTTTTGGGATACCTATTCAAAGGTTATATACGCCGAATTCGGTAGAAATTGAGCTCATAGATCCGGAAATTAACCAATCATGTATTAGTGAGGCAAATGCTGGATAAGCCAATGAAGTTAGGTAGTAATCGTTAAAGTTTGAACTTTCTGAAAATGATGAATTTTGAATACTCTTTAATGGCTTGTCAATCAAATACCATAATGAGATGAGAAACAATCGAAAAGTACACGCCGCCTATATGTTGATTTTCGACCTGAAAATTCCATCACAAAGTAATTTACTTTTTGAACTGGTGCGAAGAAGTTGAACTTTTTGTTCACTAAAGAGTGCAAAAAGTTGTAAATTATTGCACGATCGCAGACAAAAAATCATATACGGTCTCAAAAACGAATTGTGTTGATCCAAAAATAATTCTGATGTTGATTCAACGATACCTATACATTTCGTAGGAAGTGGCTTTTCTATGACACTCAACAGGCAGGAAAGGTGTACTTTCTCTGCCTTGGCAGAAAAAGTTTGTTGCTATGCAACGTTCCAAGAAATTTGAACGAAATTGCTAGGTAATGATGGAGTTTTCAATAAAACACATTATATACACAAAATTGGTTTTATAACATTATGAAATGTTATATGTTTCGCCCTGCAGCAAATGTAGATTGACTGCCTTGGCTCAATTCCCAGCCTCGCTACGCTCAGCTATGAACTATCAGCCGCGGCAAACAATCTACTACTTTGCTGCCTAGTAAAACAAATAACTATGAAACAACAAACAAGTTTTCTTATTCCGATGTAGCAATGAACTAGTTTTGAAAGGATCATTTGCTGGAATAGGGCAACGAAATTTATAATATCAATGAGATATTTTGTTCATTCAATATTAGGTCAAATTTTCTTCACCAGATGGCAATTTTTTCGGTTCCTCTATTCCTGCCTCGAATTAATATATTATGAAATATCAGCTGGAAAAATCGAACTTTAGATGCTTAGCAACCCGAAATAGCTTTGCATCAGCTGAATAGTAGTGAAGACTGATGAAGATATATGCTAGCAGTCGACTAATACAAATATCTCAGTTTTTTTTAATGAGGTAAAATTTCAGTCAATTCCCGAAGCAATACGTAATTTGGTTCAACAAAACAATATGTCAAATTGAAATACAGTTTGTCTAGAATCGAAAAATCACACTCAATCAACTAGATATTTGAATGAATCAATATTTTGACATTTTGAATCAAAAACAATGATTGTTGGAACCAAATCAATATCCAGAGCTCATGCAAGACATATTTACTTGATTCAAACTTCAGATTCGCCCTTAAACAAGATTTAATAGTTTAGCCCATTTCAAGATCATATTTTGTCGTACATAAATATGACACTTATATTTATTGTTTCAAGTGTCAAAAAAACTCGTCGAATACGGAAAACTTCGAAAGTACAGAAAACAAATTATTAGCGAATTTGCGCCACCTTGTAAGTTTTCATTTCCATGAAATACCAACCTGGTTGAAGACCGTTTCCTCGGGACAAATGAAGCTCCACCTGAACGTCTGGTTACGTCCATCCGCGTACGTGACAGGAAGGCACACGTGGAAAAGTTGACAATCATTTTCCACGTCGGCATAGTATCCGTAATCTCTTCCTTCGCAATGGAATGAATCTGTTATGTCTGTACGTATGCTGGTAGCATTACTAGGAAGAGTGAGTAGTTGCGGAGGAGGCAGATATTCTGGCATCAACTGAAAACATCAGAATAGTATACATTTCTAAGATCAATGAAAAAACTGTTGAAGTTTGAAATAATTCAAGGTGTCCGACGGTCGATAAATGGTCGATAAAATGTTGAGCATCACCATCACCATAGCAACAGCGAAGAGTGTGATGCGGACAAGTACTCGAGTAGCTTTCCAGTTGACCAAAACATGCAGCAGCTTTATCACTGCTGCATTTCAAAATGTTCCATGTTTTATCACAGAGACGTTTCCATCAGAGATATAGCATAGATGAATATCCGCCTCAAATGAAATCACAGACTTATATCAGTGATGCAACATCAGACTTGAATGAGATATGCTCCTGTGAGATCACAATAATGACTATGTCTCTATATACAGAAAAAAAAGATTTTTTGTACCAACAAAATTAATTTGGTCATTTTTTTTGTCAAATTGAAAAAAATTTACGAATCAACAGAATATTATATCAATTTCAATAAGCGACTTATTCAAAAAGACAAAATATTTTAATTGAAAAATTTAAATATTTGTTTACTTTAAAAAAGGTTTAATTTATTCAACAATATTTATAGTTGACATAAAAATATTTTTGTTGATTCAACTTTCTTCTCATTGTTCAATCAATCAACTATTCATCGTGTGTATTTGACAAAATTAGATTGATTTTGACAAAGATTCAACGAAGGACAACATCATATTTTGTTGTTTCAACATTATTTTATTGTTAAATCAATCAAATGCTTCTCTTCTATTCGACAAAATTGGATTAATTTTGACGATATTATATTTTGTTGATACAACATCATTTTCAAGAAATATATGTTGTTATTTCTAACAGATTATTTTTTTGAACTGAACCAACAGATACATTATATGAAACAGATATTTTGTTAATTGGTTATCTAGTTGCTTTTTTGCCACTAGATAGCGTTCCTTTCCATCTTCCTACGCTCGTCTCGATTTTGAGGTGTACAAATAGGTACCTACTTCCGTTTATATAATTGATTCAACTGAGAAAATCAATCTAATTTCTCTCAGTTTTGAAATAATTCAGTAATTGGAAAATTGAACAATATTATTCAACAAAATTGTTTGTCAATTCTAAATTGAAATCTGACGAGACAAATTCGTTGAAGTAACAAAATATTTTGTTGTGGATATATGACACTCAGATTCTGTTGAATTTTCAGGATTTTTATTGATTCAAACTTTTTTTTTCGTGATAGCTCTTTCCATAGAGCATGCCAGAAACGGGTTCGAAAAATCTGTGCTCTCATTGGCTCCATCCCTAATCATCAATGAATTTATACTGTAACAATACATTTTGTGTAATGTAATTTTTGTGCTGGACCAACTTGGTGTATTTCAGTTTTTCTTTGAACAAAAAAATGGACCACTTTGAGAAGGACGGATGGTTTTCATGACTTAAATTTATACCAGTATTTATATCAATTTCAAATGCAACAAAAAGATATTTAGGATATATTCGTGGAATTTCATCAAGTGATGAAATTAAAAAATCGGTGAATATACCATCAAACACATGGAGTGGCATTCGAAACAATGAAACAAAAGGATTGAAAATGTGAACTTTATTCCAATCCACAGACAAATAATTAACAAACCTCAAAACATTTGTGAAATGAAAATAGGAAATAGGTATAAGCAAAGGGTAGGTATAATAGGTATAACGAGGGATTGTCCTCCTGTTATAGTGTGCTGCTAATTTCGTTACCAAATTTCATGAAAATCTCAGAAAAAGTGAGGTTTGGAAAACTTATGACATTGTTCAACTTCGTGGTTGTTAATGAACCACAACTTTGAATTTCACGTGCTCGAATTCTCACAACGTCAGATCACATTATTATTTGTTAAAACCTGCAGGACGTTATAATGCCACAGAGTTAGACTATGATGTCGCCGGGGATGCCTCAATTTAATAACGTTGATAGAACGTGTGATGAAACAATAGTATATTGTGCAACAAGTGGGAAAAGTGCTTTTCTCCACATGTTGCACACTATACTTTTTCTACAACTGCACTTATTCAAAGAATCCGAGTAATGTAACTTATTGGTATTCATTTTATAATGTGGCACTATGCCACATTGAATATTGTGACCAAAGAGTAGACGCCTTTTCTAGTTCCTCAAAGTATTTCAAAAAAGTACACTTTCTGAAAAAGATTTCTGTATTTTCTCAGATTCCATAAATTTTTCGTACCAATATGCCAATTCACACTTTTTTCTAGAAATTTCCGGAAACAAATCCAACTTTCGCAGCTTTCTCCATTATCTCTGTCTCTGGCGGTGTATTTATCAAAATCGTCAAATCTCGGTATATAGTATATACATTTATTATGAATTGTTGGAACAATATTTGATGGAAAATGCGATTTCTATCAAGAGCACTAATGAGAACTACCCTAAAGAATTTAAAAAACTTCTTCTGACAGTTGTGACAACTATTCAAAGCTGAACAGCAGCCAAGTTTTTGTCGATTTTTGTTGATTCTCCATGGAAATGTATGTGGTGTTGGCAAAGTGCCGTGAGAAAAAATATTTCTCACAGTATGGGCAATACATGGTTTTGAAACTAAGTAAGCTATGAGAAATGCGCTACTTTTCATAGCAGTAGTAGAAAAAGTTCTTTAAATGACCTCATTTGTGTGGTTAACTGGGTTCTCATCGGTCTGCAGAAGTGTTTCAATTATTCATACCAATCTCAGAGTTCCAACACTCACGAAACAATTCGACGTTGTGAAATCTTATTCGAATTCTGAAATAGCGTTAGCGAAAAAAGCTTCTGAGATTGCTGAACTGTTATAAATCACTATCACGATATCCATATTCGATGGAGTATAGAGTCTCAAAGAGTGGGGACACGCTTGTCACCACTGACATCACCGAATTGTCATCATTCTCAGATTTGAAACATCATTTCTGATAATTGAATAGGCTTACCAGCGAAAATGTTCTCGAATATGTCTCGTTCGGTAACGAATTGTGAAAAATCTAAGAATGATGGTTACCATTAATGGAGGAGTTGCCCAAAGACGAGAAGACATTCCAAGTGTTCAAATTCTGATATTCATTTCATGAAGATACATTAAATGATGTAATATTGATATAACTAAGTATAAAATGAGCATTATGTGCCTTTGGTGGTACGCCACTGATGTTAGGGTTTCAGATAATAATGTGTCTGCACTCGTTCAATGAAGGAGTACAGAAAAATGACATTCCATTTCTCATTAAACATATTTGGGTCTCATGTTTTTCAAGTTCATCTGTTAAAATCATGACAAGCGTGTCCACACTATTTAAAGGGCGAACGAAACTTAATTTCACACATCTCGTATATAATAGCTCATTCTCTTTGCTTCCTCTACGATTCCAAGTTCAAGCTCAAATCCCCCCAGGATATTTCTTCCCAGAGTTATCAATATCTTGTGATCCAGTGATCTAGAGGGTATGACTGAAATTCAATCCACATAATTGTGATCTCCTAAATCGGAAGATGAATAATATTGCATAAGTCATTGTTAAGAGTCCAACCACGTTAACTTTGGGACACCACATGACGCAATTCTTATATTAATTCAATGCATTCGTGACCACGTGATGTCCCAAAGTTAACGTTATCGGACTCTAATTCCAGTGCTTCTGACCTTACTGAAATTGAATGCTTGGGTTCGATTGTTAACCTCTTATCAATGATTCACAAGAATTCCAGGCAAACCTCAGAATTCAATATCTTCCAAAATATGATATTTTTCTACCAAAACGTACATTACGTACGTCTTTTGTTTGAAAGAAGTGCTAATTTACAGTATAGCAACTATATAGATATGAAGAAAATAAGTAAATGTATTGTTTTAGCATGTCGACTATAAATTAAATTAAATCTAGCTATCTCTGGAACAATAGGTTCCTCTCATGTATGCTGTGTAAACTATCTATAGGTTATATATTTGATAATTTATCCGTTATCTATTTCGCATTCTTTGGACTGTCGAGAGAAAATATTTTTGTTTTAAATTTGACTCAGTTTGTATATACCTATTATACTGGGATTTGCTGCAAATAACTGAGTTTTCTTACTCAAATAATTCCATCCATATCATTATTATCATATGTCATACCATATTTTAAGTCATGAAAACCATCAATGCTTCCCAAAGTGGTCCAATTTGCTTTTCCAAAGATACAAAAAACAAAAAAACAACATATTTTAGTTTTTTGAGGGCACGAGGGGCTAGGTTTTTGATAGAAAAAACAATCTCACTTTATTTGACTCGTTCATCATACAATAGCTGATGGCTTACGGCAATCATAAAGAATATTTGAATCGAAATACTCAAAACGTTACAAAAAATTGTAGAATTCCAAAACTCACAGGAATACATACACTCCATTATATCGTCTGTCAAATAATTTATTTGGAGTATTACTTGATGGCAGCTCAAAGATTAGGTAAGCAAGGATTTATTCAAGAGAAGGAAGAAGGAGTGTAACAATATGTCTGATAAAACGAATGTTATATGTATATAGAATACCGACATCTTGACATTGGGGAAGTCAAATTATGAAAATATATAGTGTACATGTATATATAAAACACGAGTTGAAAATGCTACTTATTACAACACTGAGTCTGTCTGTTGGTTAATCGAGGAGGTGGTACATTACTTTTTTTGAGATTTATTGGGATTTCTCTACCTCGTTCCCGAAATAAAAATATTATTTCTATTTTATAAAAAAGAGGAGAAAGAATCATAAAGATTCAAACGTAAAAAAATCGATAGGATATAGGATATAAGTCAATCTTATAACTTTCAACAACGCTGAATGCGCAGTTTCACGAAAAAGCTTGTAGTTTTAACATTCTCTATTGCTATTGCTATTTAACAACAAATAATCGAATTTCTGACAAAGAATCGAGCATGACTCTTTATCTTATGAAACGTTTCTTGGGCTTTAGGCGAACTAAAAAATGTTAGATCATTTTTGACAAAAAAATAACAGGTGAACTTACATTCATTAGAATTATATATGATTATACTCGAGATATTTGTTTTCCCAAGAATACTATCGTAAAAATCAGAAATTTCATAAAATATAACTAAAAATCACTAATAATCACTTTACCCACCCGCAATTTTGGAGCACTGTTCACCAAATAGAAGAAAACCGGAAAAACTAGAACAGACTTCATCCTTCACCTCTTTGGCAAACACTCGTGGGTACAGAAAAACTTCAACTATCACTCCTTTTGAAGTGGTGGATAGTTTATATACCATCCAAGAAAGGCGAGGAAGATGGTGCATTTCAATGACCATAACGTCCTGTCGGAAGCCCGCTATTTCTTTTGTCATACAGAGTGACCCAGCTGAAAATAAAAAGAATATCTATGTTTACGGATAAATATCAATATTCAATCATCTTGACACCTTGTATATTAGATTTTCTCCTATAAATGTGGCAAAATGAGAATACAAATCGTCATTACTCAGAAGATTCTTCATCAGAAATGGATAGTTTGACTGAAAATGAATTTATTCAATACTTTACGAACTGTACAGTCGTCTTCAGAAAACATGTCGCACATGGACGATGATAGCATTCTGCAATAAGAGCGCTGACACCGTCCAACCGCGACATGATCACTGAAGACGACAGTACACTGTATGTTTGTCTGGCCAAGGGGTTAGCACTATCCAGACATACTGAGGAAACATCTTCTGATAGTTACCCAAGGAATATGTATAAAATTCAGCTTTTCTGCTTTAACGTAAGTTATAAGTTACAAAGGTATAAGGGTCTAGCAATGGATGACTTGTTATCTGATATTATCCTGAAGAAAATATCTAGAAGTTACACTGTATAATTTGACGATAATAAGTTGGCATTTTCAAATTTGCCCATTATTCTTTCCTGTGTTGGGACTGTTGGGAGCATGCGCTGATAAACTTTCAGCAATGGCAAGCGTTCACGTCTAGTTCAAAATATATTCTGTTTGTAAATTCCATTTATTTAATAATGTTCAAATACATGACGTCATGAGTTGAAGAAGAAAATAGAACATGTTCTTCCAGAACTTATTCCATCAATACAGTCGACGACCGACAAGAAATAATGGCGATAAAAATGTTTTGCTTGTTCCAGCCATTACCTGTTCATCTTGAACATAAATCTAACGTTTCTTGAATTCTCTTACGTCTAACGTAAAAATTTAAATTCATGCTTCGTAATAATTGAAACGAACTCGTTGAATCATAAAAGTTTTTTCTAAGGAATATCAGTATTGCTTTTACGTACCTACAGACATCTCCTCATGGCTGGTAGAGGGTGACCCATACAAAAAATGTATTTCAATTCCAATGGTCCATTCCTCAGTTCATACGTAGCTGAAAACCTTCCTATGATGGCATTCTTATATTCGATATACTCTGAAAATTATCCTCCAGTTTTTGAATCTTCAGCTCCATTTACCATTTTTTTGTTGTTGATTTTTCATGGAAATATTGATACCCTGTATCTCGAAAACGAAGTAAGCTAGAACACATGTTCATATGAACTTTATTTCCTAAAATATCTCAAGGAATATCGCCCCTTGGATTTTTTCGGTGTTATTCAGATACATCCTGTATAACAATATGAATAGGTTACTATGGAAATAATACGAAATTTCTGATTGGCGGAGTTACTCTATGTATATCCACCTATATTCGAAATTATACAAGGTGGCTCGACTCAATCAAACGTTCTGATTGGTTTAAAAACATACGAAGAAAATAATCAGCATTATCAATCTTGATTGCTGAGATCAGAAGATACGAAGATGAAGAGAAACAGAACCTTAACAACAAGTTGGTAGTAGACATACTATATTTCCAAGGATATTGAACTGTTTCTTTATGCATTATAGAAATTCACAGGCCACTTAACATTATGCATAAACTTCAACTGAAGTCACTGCGTTACCTATAATATAGGTGTTTATATGCAATATAAATATAGGGATTGAGCCTTTCATGTACAAATACTGTTCTCTACCTCAATATATTTCCATTCATCAATCGTGTCACTTTAATATGAATTCCAAAATGATTTGAATAAATAATGGTAGTACCTACTTCGTGAGTGCCAAGTTCTACGTCTATAGATGATTTTGACTTGCGAGTGCCTGATGTTAGTATAAATCAGGTCTAGAACAGACATATCAACATACAGGTAACCCCATTCCAGGCGAAAATACATGGCCATTGATTTATGTGTAGATATATTGGAAATTGTATCTGATCTGGATTTCTGCCCACTCCGGTTTGGAAGCTAATGAAACGGCAGATTTCCATGCAAGGAGAGGTTCCGCCAATGGTTTCATCAGACCAGAACCTGCCATTGGCATCGCATCAAGTTTTACCAAACATACTGAACACCTGGACTGCCAGATCCAAAATAAATTTCCCGAAAAAATAACCACCCTGAAGAATGAAAGCGAAAAATGGTAACTGGTTTTTATTGCAGTAGTGCATGGTGATTTCAACATTCAAATATTAGAATTCAGAAAGCTTGAATGGCATACAATCATTCAGTTTATTTTCTATAATGCATCCTTGGCATCACATTTGTATAACGATTTTTTCTTTCAAATATAATAATATCAAAGAATTCAGAAAATCAGTCTCAATAAATAATCACTCAACAACTATCGAACGACAAGATAAGTAATATATATCTTCAAACTATTATGCATATATCTAATTTGAACCTTCTGTTTATTATTTTTTAGATCATCGTCCCCAAAATCCCCCACTCTCTTCATTATGTGCCCAAGGGTCTCCATCGTAGTGATGGTCGTGCTGCGCATGCTCATAATATATGGCCTTGGATGGTTCAGGGTGCTTTTTCAAGTCCATGAAGAGCCTGATTTTACTTATCGCCAGTATTGACAACAACAACAAGAATATCTTAGTCTGGATTGCTGCCATGTAAAGCTGTATCGCAAAGTCAGCTTTTGACTTGATTATTTTTCCTAGAATAAAAATTCTGATCCATCTCATTATTCGGTCTCTATGTTGTTTGATAGTTCGATCTGCAAAAAATCAAGGAATGTTATTGAATTATTGTTTCTAGGAAGAGTTGCCCAGTTACCATAGTGTGCCATCAGATGTGCCTACAAAATAAGAATACATTGTTGCGTGGATTAGAACTACGTAGGTATTATTATTCCGAGTGATCGACAAATTCGCCTTTCGAAATAGCTAGAAAAATGTAGAAAAACATGTTTTGATTCTTCATTTTACTTGGTACGATCTAAACTGCCATTCAATAAAAACTTTTTTTTACGAAATTAGCTAATTCACAGTCGCAACTGTGAATGAGGCACAAAAAACTTTTTTTTAATGTGTTTTGAAAAAGAAAGTTATCTCTGCCTAATTGACAGTTGCAGCTGTGAATAAGCACTAATTTACAGCTGCAACTGTAAATTAGGAGATAAATACAAACATCTCAAAGTAATTTCCACACAATGTTCATAAAATGAACAACAATGGTAGATTTCGGGAGGAAAACAACTACTTTCCTGGCTATATGCCACGCAGAACATTGAATTACATCCTTCCGAAATTTATGCATTGACTCGTATAAACTGATACAAGTGATTTTTTCCTGAATGCCTATTGATTTCGATTCAGTCAGGCTACACTAGACACCTACAGACACAATTTATAGTTGCAACTGTAAATTAGGAGATATTTAAAACAAAGTTTCTTCTGCCTTATTTACAGTTGCAACTGTAAAATAGGCAAATGAACGAGAAAAAAAAGTTTTTTCAGGATAGCAGTTCCGACGTGCCGTATAATGGGGAAGTTTTCTAGATTTAGATTTTTAGTTATTCGTGGACCTTATGAAACACCATTGATATACGTATTGTTATATTTTCTCCATATATAGGCTTAGAGAACAGCCTCGGAACGACATGATGTTATTCTGTTTATTATAAATGGTGGATATTGGAAGATAATGTTCTGCTGAGAATATTAAGATATATATGAGTAACAAAGTGAACTTTTCATTATCCTCCTTCACTATCTCATCCAGAAATTCGTGCATTCTTTTTCTGGTTTTACTTTCGTTTTAAGATTGCAAAATCATAACTAATTAGATGGAAATTTATCACAAGGAAACTTCCCCATCTTTATCTTTTTATTATTTTTCACTTCGACTAAAAAGGATCATCCAATGATGATTATTTTATATAGATGATAACATTGTCGATAATACGTCATAACTCTACCTTGCTTGTTGATAGGAATGTCATTTGCAAAAAATCCTTACTGTGGAAATTACCTAAATATACAGTAATTTTGTGCATTTATACTAATTACATAGATCAATGGTTTGTTTAATCTATGCTTATATGGTTATACAAATTGGACCCCGCACGTGCATAATCGCATATTCAGAAATACAGGGCATTCAAACTATAAATCAGTTAGGTATTTAGTATTTCAATATCTTTTCGGGATTTGAAGGTGTTATTCGCATGTCATCTTCGTACGATCTTCGTTTCATTCAGTATTATTCAACTGGATCAGATTTTGTCACTGTTTTCAGTACCTAATGGGAAATTTCGTTGGTATATATAATGAACAAACGGGAAATTGAAATTGGTATGCAATTTTCTAATTTCATCATGAATCCCAATTCATACATTTTACAAGGGATGAGTTGATACAAATCCTGATTATTGTCCAAGTGAATACTTATCTTTCAAGGGTTATTGTAATAATTGAAGAAATCCACCGAGATGATTAGGCATTACAAGGTGATTTCGGAATAATTAAGTATTATTTTATCTATCGAGAATCTTCTTGATATAGGTATGTCTCAATGAAATTATTTTGACAAAAGCTATTATTGGGGAATCAAATGAAAATCTAGTGTAAATTGATTTATTGTCAAACCGCAAAGCGCAATCGACTGTTATATAAGCCATTATCAGTGCTCTACCTGTAAAGTTGTGGATTACCTTATCTTCAAGTTATTACAAAATGATTCATTCCACCAATATTTCAAGTAACCCTGTGTGGAATGTACGAATAATGTGATTCTTGGTTGAATCTCGATATCATCGAGTTTTCAGACAACACTAGAATATTTCCATCCTTCGATCTGAATGAGATTGAAAAATATGACGATAAGTTGATGATT